GTCCGGCCCTGGTACTCGTGGGTCGCGTCCGGCTGGTGGTCTGTAGCTCGCTCGCTCCAGAGTGCCTGGTGACGCCGTGTACATCAGTCCAATGGTGCCCTCGGTCCGCAGCTGCTTCGAGGGTTTCGCCTTTACAGCGCTAAGTGAGGCCTCGGGTGGTATTTTGCTTTTATTGTTCGCAATAAGCGCCAGCTCATGCCCGGACGGGATTGGTTCGGGAGGTGGTGGAGGAGGAGGGGCTCTGGCGGTCGGGTTGGCCCCTACTGAGGGCGCTATCGCTGCCGGCCCTGCCCTGCAGGCCACGGATGGGGATAGCGGTGCCCGCACACCACGCGCCCACGAGGTGGTCGTTGGTGCAATAGCTGCCGTTGGGTTTGTTGCCCCTGCGACGGCCGGAGCTGCAGACCCTACGGCCGCCATCTTGGGGCCCCGCACACACCCCTTCCCGGCTGCTGCGGTCGTAGCTGCTGCTGCCACTCCCGAGGTGCCACCTCCGAGGCCCCTGCTGCCGCTGGCCCCTCCTTCTCCGCCTCCTGCGTTGCCACCGACATATTCACTGCCGTCCGCTCCTTGCTCGGCAGCTGCAGTTCCTTCTCCATCGCTGTCGCCTCCGTCGGCGCCGTACTCCGCGCTGCCCAGGTCGCTGTCGGTATCATTCCGGGTCCCATACGGCTGCGCTTTTCCGCCTGGTCGCTCCTTTATGTATAGCTCGGCCCCGTTCCTCCAGACTGGGATCGCGCCTTGTCGCATGATGTCCTGCCGCAGCGGGGCCATGCGCTTTCTCTCGATCCTCCCCGCTTGGGTCAAGTTGTCGTCGATGCCCACCTTCTGGTGCCGTAGGACCTCAGCAGCCCTGAAGAATGATGGCCGTTCCGTTATATCGAAGTACGCGCACCAGGTCTTGCGGTCTTTATTCGGATCGTTCCCCAGGAGCCTGATCCGCTTAATATTAACGTCCGCTTCCCTTAGGACGTTCTTGATCCTGCTCTCATCCACGTTCCCAGTCGTGAAGATCCGCATGCTATCCAAATAGAAGAGCCCGTTTTGATGGACTAGGCCGAAGGCGTCGTAGTAGACTCCCCGGCCACTCTTCATCAGGCTCTTTACTTGCGTTTTTAGCTCCGCTTGCTCATGTTTGATCGTGCGGATTTCCTGGTTGGTGGCTGCCAGGCCTCCCGCCAGCCCGGCTATCTGATCTATCAACTGTACCATGAGGCCATTGTTGGCCAGTTCCTCAGGATTGTTCCGTGCTCGTTGTATGTAGTCCATTTCTATTTTTTTTCTTGAAGAGCTGGGCGTCACCTGGGCGTCACCCTCTGTCGGCGCCTTTCAAACTGTAGTTGTGTGGGCTATCATTTCTATTCTATTCTATTCTATAAGCGATGTGTCGTCCGCGAGCGTTGACGCACAATTGACCAGGCTCGGGAATGCGAAAATCATAAAAAAATTTAGACGGTCACCTGGCACAAGGAACATGTCGGGCCCCCTCCGGACAACACACTGGACCACATCGAGCGACTGACGGCCCGCCTTGTCGGCCGACAACAGGGCCCAGAAGACCCAGGCCAGCGCCTCACAGGCGTACCCAGCAGCATTCAAGTAGGCGACCCATCGGCCGGGGAATTTGGCATGCTGCTGCACCGACAACACATCCACACACGCCACGCAGTCTGGGCCGTGCAATTCATTGCATAAGCACTACCGACGGAAGGTTGCGAAGGAAGGGGCGCGGGAGGGAAAGTAACTGCGGGAGCAGGCGGGGACGAGGAGGTGGCAGTGGCAACCAACAGTGAGGCATGGGGCGTACTCCCCTGGGTATGCACGCTGTCCGCCTATCTGGAGCTCACCCACCCCGCACTCCAGCCATGGCCTCTGACAACCGCCCGGGCCACGGGACCATTTCTCGGCAGTAGTGACCTTCCCGCAGACATCAACCGGATCGTGGGGGCCCTGGGACACCTGGAGGACATTGGCAGAACCCCGCTGGAACCCGGCGATTGGTGCTGGGCGGTGGCGCTATGGGGCAACCCACTGCTGCCCAATGCGGCCAATGGTGCAAACACCGAGGGCCTCAGCCGTCGACCAGGCCTGGAAGCATACCACGCGGCACTGACACCATGCAGAAAACTGTGCATGGTGGGGGACCTGATACGGGTGTGGGAAGCGGCAAACAATGGCCAAGCCACCACCCTCCAGGAAGCAGCCTGGCGCTCGTGGGCCCGCAAGCACCTAGACCCAGCCACAGTCCCCGCCCAGCTGCAGGACAAGGACGCCACGCTTGCGGCTCTTGGAGACCTGAACAGCGACATCAGCCCGGCCTGGCTGGAGGCAGCACGTGCGGTTGAGATCAGGCTACGACAGCGGCAACAGGTGGAGGGGCCCCAGCAGCAACCACCAGGACCGGCATCGACATTGCCAGATTGCACACAAGTGATGGCATCGGGCGGCTGGGTTGGCGCCTCCCGGGGGGAGGGGACGGACTCTGTGCCGTTCCGCCGCCTGACGGTCAATCAAGCGACACAGGTACAGAACGGGCACGCCAACGAGCGGCGAATATGCCTAGTGACCGACTTCGTCGTGAGGCCCTGAACGTGCCCGAGATTCCAGCTCCGCCTGACCCCGCTGCCGAGCTTAGCTGCTTCCAGGCAACTCTGGCGCGCTTGTGGCATGAGGTGCGCTGGGAGAATGAGAACAAGGAGACCATGTGGCGTCTTGCGGTGGATGGCGTGCCCCTACCTGGCAACACGCACCTAGCCCGGGTGCCCACTGAGCCATTGTAGTAGCTGGTACACAGTACGGCTCTACAAATACGCGCGAAGCACGACCACCAGCATCTCGAGAGGCCTTTTCAGCGGCCAGCTACTACAGCCATGCGGGTGTGGGACCTATGGGGGCGCCACCAGCAGACCATGCCCCCAGCGGCTGCACCACGGTGCTTGTGGTAGTCGAACAGCTGGCCTTCTGGGACAAGCGTGCGAGTGCTCCCTTGGTGTTTGGTTTCTTTGTGCAGCGGCGTCTCGGTTTTGTGGCCGTGGTCCTCCGTGCATCTCTTGCCTTGCTGGCTGCGTGGGTATCCTTGGCTAGGAGAGTCTTCCGAGGGTAGGTCTTCTCTTGCCTCGTCTTTTGAGTATGTGTGTGTGTGTGTTACATGGTCGTGGGTGCATTCCCCGTACCTGCAACATGCCCTAATATGAGCGAGGGCTCAAGGGCTGCTAGGTCGCCTATAAGCACCATCCTACCTCGCACTTCAGACAAAGCACGTGATAAAGGATACTAACGACCAAAGGGAACGATAGAGGGGCATACTCGCTCCTCCCTAGGTATACAACGCCGTCCCTTACGCTCTCTGTTAGCCGCCAATGCCCAACAGCAAAGCCTTAACTGCATAAGCTTGCGATTCGCTGAACGCGGGATAAACATTGTGATGTGCGGGAGCACCTCCTTCCTGCCCGCTTGCTCGGCCGCCAGACCCATCCAATGCTTATACTTCGCCATTTGAATTCCTGGTTGCTTGCCGTCTGACGGGTACACGTCTGGCTGGACATCTAGACGCGTATGCTTCCAACCACGCACCAATCGGTCCTTGAACTCCAATACCACACACTCTGACAATGGCCTGTTCATCAGCCATTCCACTCGTTCGTCTACTTCGTGTAGCCCTTGCGGGGCCTCTTTCCATACTTCGTGCCCCAGAAAACTTAGAAAACGGAGGAGTAGTGCCCCCCATCCGGCCCCTTCGGGGTGGAAGAGGGACTCTGCGACCTCCTGTCGCAAAACTTGGTGTGCCACAGACCCACGTTGTAAACGGACACGTTTCCAAAACCTCACAATCTGTGTGAAACGTGGTAGTGTATGGGTCGCTGCTACAATTCGGCAAACAGGAGGCGATGTGTTGGTCTGGCAGCTCCCACAATTGGTCGCATGAACGATATCTGAAGCTACACCGCTCCGTCCTTTAGGCATGCCTCGAAGAGCCCCTCCGCAAGGTTACCCGCATGGCTCCGCTTCCTGAGCCTGTCCAAGACCACACCTAGCGTTAACGGCCCCCACGCTTGACAACCATAGAACAGGTAGGCGGCTGGCAGAGAATTTGGCCTGACTTCTGCCCCCGGTTGACCCGGGTTCAAATTCGCCTGCTAACTCCTCGGGTGATTGAGGATTGTTGAAATAGGAGGTACCCCCCCATCATATAGACGGTGTAGGACGTGATGATATTAACTTGCGAGTTGACCAGGAACTAAGCTGATGCGCCGTTGATCCGCTACATTTGGTTGGATGCTGGTGGTGAGTTGCCGAACCCAACGAATACATTCTGAAGTCGGATGGGGTGACGGATTAGGGTGCCCTTCTAGCAGGGGAGAGCAGGTACTGCCCCGGGAAAGGGGGCCGCTGGCGAAGTTAACGACCCTGTAACAACATACATAGAACAGTGTTGCTCGTACCTGCGTATCGAAACACCTCATCCTCATATCTGGGGCGAACAACTTTAGCTTATCCAATTTTGTACTCAACGCGAACATAGCTGCTCTAGCTATGTCGTACAACTGCTGTGTCGTACAACGGACCTCAATCGTATTGTTTGCACGGTCATTTTTGATTTCTGGGCCCGAGTATCATAACTAGTTTTGTAGCCCGAGACCACCGAAACGTTGGGAACATGTGCACGCTAACCACCCTTTCCTATCAATCAACCATTACAATAAACTCGTTTGTCAGTTTCGGGTTTACGATGGCGATGAACGAATAAAACATGCATTCTTTCTTTACGTTTCAGCGTACCAGCTGAGGCCTTATGACCTGTGAAGTTAGTGCGGCAAAGACCTCGTCAGCGACATAGCGAGATAGACATGTGAAGAAGCTGTGAAGTGCGACACGGAAATCTGAATTCCTGTTTCATCGTGATATCGAAGCATTAGTTACATAATTGATTTGGAGCCCATGGCAGGAAAAGAGAGACGTAAGTAGGATTCTGAAAATCACAGTTAGAATGCAGTGCCCGTGGCCGTCAGGGAAAGGCATGAAAGCCAAGAGGAAGAGAACAAAAGGCCCCTGAACCAAACAGCTTCCGGCATGGAGTATTGCTACTCCGCAACGCCGTCCCCTGCAGTTCGTTCATTGTCCAACGTTTATTTCGACCGCTCCTGGTAGACGAGCCCGTCTGGAGCCGGTGTAACTCGAGTGGCAACACATGTCATAACGCTTCATCTTGTGCTAGTACATTAGCGCTCAATACAACATGCCAGAACTATTGTCCCGCCCAGTAGGGGGCCTGGTGGGGGACTTAGTAGTGAGTTGTCGACCAAGCACGCCCACTACCAACGTCCTTGCTGCCACTTCAAACACCGCCACATCGCCCAGCCCTCGTCGCACAATCCACAACAAGTGATATGAATATACGTCGCAATCAGTAGTCACGACGCAACCACGCCACCCTCCAAAGATACATAATAACCCCTCCCACGGAGGCATCCTCAGGACCGCCCCCGATATATCCTGAACCCCACCCTGGGTTCATCCTACCCCTACCCCCCGATCCATCTTCTCACCTACCCCATCATCCGACTCTATCCCATCCGCAATTCTCTGCCCGACCCGCCGCCGCGTCCTGACAGCTCTACAACCCTCGGAAGCTACAACTCGACACAACCATGTTGTGTTAAGACTGAGCCTCATCAGATCCCATGTTATCCTCATCATCGATCTTTGGTGCCAAGTAGAAGCGAACACTGCCTAACTCGCCGACCTGGTACTCCACAACTATGGGAAGGTCCTTCGTTAGGCTTAGTTTGACCTGCGGTGCCAATGGTGTAGCCTTGCTGAAGTTGTTTAGGTACCGGAGGGCAAACGTCAACGCGACAGGCTCCTTCAGGTCAATGAACGTCTGCTCCTCGGGCTTCTCCGGCGTGGTGTTATGCCTACAGGGATAGGAGAGACCCATTTTGGAGCGCACACATTTGGGATGCCTCCATGACTTAGCTGAAACACCACAAATTTACTGTTGTCGACTTTCCCCTGAACCCCACGTACCGGAGCGTGATGTTCGCTGTGCCGACGTCACCAGAAGTGGAGAACTTAATTCCCTCCTTTGTGGCCGAGATGAGAACCGTGTCACCAATACTGGTGAGGTCACGGACAATTCGCTGATACTCTGAGGAGGGCAGTTTAACCTCCGCAGAATAATCCTGGTCAGGAATCCCCAAGTGCTCGGACTCGATGGACATCAACTTGAGGTCGAAGTCCGAGATGCGATCCTGGCTGGGTGCCTCAAACATCAGGGTTAGCTGGTCCGCATTATCCTCTGCTTTAAGTGTAATGGTGTCCTCATTTCCTGCGACAGCGTAGGCTGCCTTAGACATACAAAACACAAGCTGGTGCCAAATGTGGGCTCATACCTGCACACTTCAGGATCTTTGACAAATTCCCGAAATGAATACCCATAGCCATGTTCCGATCGCAACGGAAATGATCAAATCCGTCTTCGCGCAGCGTAAGCGATACAAGACAAACATGAGACGAATCCATCGCCTGTAGGGAAAGCCCTGTGTTGCTAACATCGAAGTTGCCCTCGGTCACCAGCTCCTTTAGCGCCTCCACGAGCTTCTTCAGCACACTTCCTTGGGTAATCCGCGCCTCGAACATGTTGCTGCACGCGGAAGAAAAGGTAAGCCGTGGCTGTCAGTCGACGGACAACAACACTGCTGTATTCTTCAGCCTGGCCGCATAATGGCCCCCACATTGAGAAATAACTATGAAGGAGCCCAGTTCCTCGTGCTACGCACCATTACCTCACAGAGTTTACTTGTCGAGAGCCAAGAGAAATTTAGATTCCCCTACGGAAAGCTGTAGTGAACTCCAGAAAACAATTTTTTGGTAAAGAAAATAACTGGAATGTGCCGTAAACAACTCGTTCTTTGATGCTGTCGTGTACTAAAATGGCGCCCTTTGCTCAATTTCGTTCCTGGTTTCGGCGCGGAACATTAGTTCAAAAGTTCATGGACTTGCACGTCGACCGAATGATATTTTGGTTAGTAGCAACCTGACCGGAGTCAATGCACTCAGCTTTACAGGCATAAGGCTGCAAATTGTGTTCCATTGACCACACTCCTCGATCGGAGGCTCCTTGCTAAGCATCTGCATTTCATCTGCCAATAACTATCGGCATTTGGACGTGATATGTCCGCTAAAATCACTTCACACTTCGTTACCAATTGGAACTCTCACGCCCGTCAGGTAGAATCCTGGTTAAAGTTCCGCAAACAGGTTCTGATGTGCCGTTCGCTGATTGCAATAACCGAATCGAGGTTCGCATGCGGCAATTTGTGGCATCGGGCATCGGTAATCAACTGCCTTACTGAAGAGGCATGTCAACAGCTCGCCCGGGTATCCAAGCAGTAGGGGAAAACAAGCTCTACCCAATGAACCTGAAGAGGAAGTTAATCAGTCTCCCGGAACCGCGGCCTGAGCTGCGCGTAATTACTTACGAACACGCCCATACGCCACGACCATTGAGATAGTTAACGCACACAAGCCACCGCTTAGGGGTCTACTTCCTCCTTTGGGCCTGCCTCCGCCTTAAAAGTGAAAACCTTGACATTAACCCATGCCTCTTGTACCGGGCCGACCATTGGCCCGGGGTCAGTCTGTAGCGATGATCCTCTAGGGTCGACTATAACATGGTCCACTGAGGTGCAGCAGTAGCATAAAATTTTTTGTACAACCTGGGACCGAAACCTGAACCACGCGCCAGATTTAACTGCGCCAGGAGTGCAGCCATCTCAACATCCCTCACGGAAAACACATCATGCTGGAAAGCCAACTTTGCGTTTAATGACGCATGCGTCCTGCCCCTAAAATGGGACGCATTGAGGTGAGGCCATGTGTTATCAGCAAGGGAAGAAGCTGCAGTTATACAAGAGGTATTTGGGCATACATGCTGCCCACTGCTGCGACAAAATGTCATCCTGCTCCGCTGGCGCCGATGTCTCGCACCAGCACGGGGTAAATTATATGGAGGAGTCACATTCTAATCATCACCAGGATGGCATGAAATGTAATTGCCGTGTTGGTTATGTATGCGTGTGCAAGGGAAATGCTTGCCTGAGTGAGTGTGCTGGACACACTCCTCTGTTTCCCCGGTTGAAGTCCACAATGTGGCACTGATCCCCCTCCTACTGCACTATTCCTAAGCTTAGCACCAATTGCACCCCCCCCCCCATCTAAGCATTTGGCCATGTTGCACTGTACTGCCTGCCTCCGGGACACGTGGCCAGGTAACAACAAAGTATTTTGATACTAATACATTCGAACAAGCACGAGATAAATAGCATTGCTAAGCACTATTATGTTACTGCCCTTAAAACAATTCCATGTAACCCATGCGTGGGTCCCCTTCAATTGCAGGCAGGCCTGGATGATGGCAGCATCCACACGGCGGTGTACATATCCAACAGCATGTGCCGCCATTTCATCGCATATTGCCCTGCACAGCTTTAATGAGGTTTTCCTTTGCGTCTGGTCCCCCACCGCCCCGGCCACCCCGGGTTGTGCTGCGTGTCGCACGCGGCGGTGGAGCGGCCGCCACATATTCATAGCTCACCTACAGCACATCAAGGAGGGAAGCAGCAAGCACAGATTAAGCTTTCACATGAGTCATCACGCTAGGTGTGCACACGTCAGTGACCTTTTGAAGTCTCAACAGATGTCTCACATCCCTGGGACCTCAACCAAGAGGATGAGAAGGCAACCCACAGGCTGCCAACTTAAATCATCTTACGTGCTGGGACATAGCCACGCCAAAGCCCTCCTCATCGTCATTGCGGCTCCGCCGTCCCGGGAGGCCGCCCACTTTCCCAGTCGCGCCATGTGGCTCCCCCACTGCCGCAGGTGCGACACGCTTCCGCGAGCGCCGGTTGCCAACGGCTCCCCCCGTGCCGTCGCCATCCTGCACGTGTTCAGGAGCCATATGCCGTGTTTCGTGAGGTCTGGCCGTGATGCAGTGGCATCACACATTTGCATTGCTTTCGCGCACCATGCGCCGCAGGCTCAACATGGGGAATGCGACTTACCGCAGTTCTCAGCGACAGAACTGAGCCTCCTGGTTCTCGGGATGACATTGATGATGCCCCTCCAGCCGTCACCGACGCCTCTCCTGCACACGGAGGCGCCTGTGGAATGGGCAGCTGCATAGGCAGGTCTAGCTGTGAGAACGCCATCTCCGGCACGAATTTATTGTTATCTATAAACTGCATCAACATTGCCGTGGCACCGTCGAGCTCCCGTGCCGCCGCCTCGGCTTGCCGTTCCCGTGGCTGCAGCGGCGGTTCAAGCTGCGGCGGGGCTTTGGGTGGGTGAATCGTTGGCCCGCCACCTGCGTCGACGGCCGATTCTGAAGAGGTTCCCAAGCCCAGGGAGCCTGCGACCGCCGCACTTGCCTCCCTAGCAGGTCCTCCTGTCTCGGTGCCTCCAACCCCACTTGTGCCGGCTACCGAAGCATGTCCTGCTGCAGACGGCGCTGGCGGGGGTTCCTGAGCACCGGCACCGCTGTGCAGCGGGTTCGACAATGCTCGTGTGAGGTTGCCACTGAGCTGACCCTGGGACACTTCCAACCCTCCTCCTCGCGTTAACAGTGCTCCTGCTCCACCGGCTTCTGCTGTCTCCCCCGTACCATCGCCTTGGATGGCTTCTAAGATAGACTTCAGGATAGATGGCGGCTTCGCAGCCGCAGACGTTGCCCCCGAAGCCAGGGAAGCTTCTCGCAATGCTCCTAACATGGCGCCGGCTGTCGGTGCGGGTGGAGGTGCCATTGGCAGACGCGGTACCGCCGGATTTGCCTTGGACATGGGTTGAGCCACTGCCTGTGCTCCTAGCGGCACCTGCATCGGCGCACCGTTCCTTTCGGACGCTTGGCTGGGCCGTGGCGGCAAGCCAGCTGGCAGGATTGCCGTCTGATGGCCGTCCGTGAAGCATTGGGTGCTATGCTGCCCTCTGGCCGATATCGTCGCTGGCAGCTGTGCAGTGGGAGTATCGGGATTTGCGATCAACAGGAGTTTCCATCATCACTAGCATTAATCTGACTCTAATTTGGTATCTCACACACGCACACACCATATCACACTCGAGGGGCCACGTGACAGTACCAATATCTTCATACGCGATAGCACTAACACATCACTTGGTAAAGGACTCATCAAGTATTGCCGCCAAATTCTTCCACGCATCGCCAACCGAGAAAGCCGTCCGAACTTACCTGTGAACCTTGCAGCTGCAGCGGCCTCTGCGTCGGTCCCAGTTGGCTTGGACCGCAGCCGCCGCTGCCTCGCGTGCGGCTTGCAGCTGCGCGCCGTTCCTCCATCTCCTCCGGCGTGATGCCCCCAGGCAGGAACGCAATTAGCTGGTCGTCCAGAGGCCGACCCGCGTACGCGCTTTCAAGGACCCAGTCCGCACGCACACACGGGATACCCCACTTGATTGCGTGCGTGAACTTCTCCCCCTTCGCATCCTGAATGACGAGATAGTCGCACCGCTTGTTGAGCTTCTCGGTGTAGGTACCGCCTGGTGCAATGCCCGATGGGCACGATGCATACAGGTAGCATGGGGTGAAGAAACGGGCTCCGCTTGGATTTGTGTTCACGTACGGATGCCGACTGTACTCGTTTACATGGAGCACGGCGGCCCGAATATCCCTTGCGCTTTCCGACAGCGCTTGTACTTGCCGCTCACCCAAGCACACTTTAAAAATGATACATCGGTGCACACGCGGCGGTACGCAACCGATGAGCAAGAGCGTTGCAGCATCGTCACGTCTGTGATGCGGGTGTGCACTGTTCGATGACAAATAGACAGCTCTGAACACCATTTGGCTCCCGACCCCGCCTACCCAGTCGGGTGATCAGCTGCTCCAGCACCTCCCGCTGCTCCAGATGGTACTGGCTGACAGCCACTGTGAGGCCCTGGAAGCGCGGCAACGGAAGAGTGTGGGGCAGCGGCCGGAAGAGCGGCGTCTCGCGCTTCACCAGCAGCAGCTCTCCACGGCTCACACAGGCGCGCAGCCAGGCGACCGTGACGCGCTGCTCCGCCGGGACCCGCCTGCAGGGACGGACAGTCAGTTAGGAGGCAGGCCCAGCGGAGGTCCAATGGCACAGCATCGTGCAGCGCTGCAGTTGGTCAGCGGCCGCCCACATTAAACAGAGGCACAGTGCAACTACCAGCGGTCCAACGTAATGCAACGTGTGTTTCAGAGTTGTTGTTACACCACATCCACCATTAACCTGCAATGTAACAGTGCTCTCGTCTTACTCGAACTCGCTGAGGCCTCCTCGCTCGCGACCGCGACTGTTGCAGATGCGGTCCACAGCTGCTTGTGGAAGGCTGAATGGGCAAACCGCGTACCGTCGCTGGGGATCACGAACATTCTTCTCGGTGGAGGCCGACATGATCATACCGCCGCCCTGCCTGCAAGCCAAATAGGACGAACACTGTGGGACCCCTGTCACATTCTGGCGACAATGCAGAATCAGATCGAGTGGAACTTACCTCACCTCGCCTCCGCTCAACAGGTTGCGGATTCCCCATGCATGGCACCATCTGCGCTACCCCACGAACCCAGGCTTGCGCACATGCATGAGGCCAAGCAAAATTGCTCAAGCTTTCGATGCGATTGCGTTTGTCCTCAACACACAAAATTTAGCTCTGTGTTACCAGACTTCATTCTCCACCACCCTCGCACCGCAGCTGCGCTTCCGTGAACCCAGCCCTGCCGAACCGCCTGTCGGCCCAAAGCAACAAGTCTACGTTGCGGCAACACCTGTACGATAACGCACCTCATCAACAACCGACCGCGCGAACTCCGTCCCACCTGACGAGCTTGGTAGCTGCCGGTTCCTCCTCAGTGCCCGCAACCGCCGCTAGGGTGAACCACAACCCTGTGAACACCCCCAGGGAGGCACTGCGGACGGAAATGCTGTCCATAGTGCGGTTGTTCGCCTCAGGGTCCAGGGGCGCGTAATCATCCAGTGGCGCCACCAGGCGGCCAGCTCCCATGCTAGTTGCTGCACTGGCAGCACCTGCCAAAGATGTTTGCGCGCCTCCAGCCGCAAGTGCCGGCGAACCCTCGCGGCCGCGGTGCCCCAGGCGGCCGGACTGGAAGCAAGTGGTAGGGGCCATGCGCGTACATTGCATTTAGTGAAACGGCCCAGCTGGTGTGATACCGAAGCTGTGGGACCTCAAGTCCAGGGTGTGTTGCCAGCCAGTGTGGCGTAATAATCCAAGGCAAGTGTGGATGAGGAAATCTAAGTAGCAAGTGCCCAGGAGTCTAGCGGCCACAAAGAAAAAGCATAAGCTACTACGGGGCATAAACTGCTAAGGGCCCCGTCTGCTTTAGTGCCCGTGACCCCTTCCGAACCGGATGCATACGAACCCTCGATGGACATCCAAATATGTCGAATGAAGACCAGCCATGGATATTGCCGGTTCTTGTGGAACCTGGGAGAAAGTCCCAGCAATGCGACGAAAGCTCCCGCCTTCCCTTGGCTATCCCCATCCGTTGCCAACGCGGTACCCTTTGTAATAAAACCTCTCCCTTCCCTTCCCCGCACACACTTGTGCCGGAAGCAGTTGCTCCGTCCCCGCGCCGCCCTGAGCCAGCAGCAGTTGCGCCACCGTCATGGCATAGGGTCCCTCCGGCTCCATATACTCACGACGCTCAATGCACTGGTACAGCCAGCTGAGGCGGGCGAGCTTCACCTGCTCGCGGTGCTCAGAGAGATGCTGGCGCACCTCTGCAAGGTCGGCCGTACTGAGGACGGAACCAAACACGATGTGCGTCACGCCGGCATGCAGCACGGGCTCGCGTGTCGCACCGCTCTCGCGCACCGCCGCCAACACATGCGACTGCTCGGAGCTGGTGCAGCCGACCACCCAAAGCCGAACCCAGTGCAGGAAGTAGCAGTCGTCCGGCGGCACGGCGGGGATGTGGTAGTACTGATGGACTGGCTGCGCAAAGGACGGGGCCGCGCCCGCGGTGCCCTTAAGAAAGCCCTTGGGATGCGCGCTCCCATTAACGTCACCGGCAGTCGAGGACGGGAAGCCGTTGGCAGGTCTCAGCACGGCGCCACCGCCACTGTGCGCGGCGGCTCCTCCCGTCACCGAATCAGTTGGGCCAGGTGCGACGACGCTGCAGGGTTCCACGAGGAAGGGGTGTCAACATGCTGAACGAAAACGTCGCTTCACTGGAAATGCTGTGCGTCATTCGGTTCGTAGTGAACGCGTGAAAGGAGAAGGAGGCAGAAGGGGCAGCAGGCTAAAAGGGTTTGACAGCATCGTCATGCCGTCAAGGACTGGGGAGGACCGCTTTGGTTTGCAGGGGATCGCCATTCAAGCTGCGCATAAGTGTGAGCTATTGGCTAAGCAGCAGTGACAGCCCGGCATCCTTACCCCAAGGACGGCAACCTATACCGGACACAGCTGGGTCATTTTGTGCGAAAAATGGCCATCACGTGATGCATGTGTGTAGGATCCCGTGGGTGGGTGGGTGGGTTTGATGTGGGTCAGGGGCCATCACGACCAAAGAGACATACCCCCGTATGCTTGCGCTGGCCTGCCTGACAGGGACTGATGTGCCTGCCGCTCCTCCCCCGGCGAGATCTCCTCCAGCCGAATGACACGACATGCCACCGCGAGCGGATGAGACCGTCCTGCGCAACGCACCCCCGAACAATGTCCTCCTCTCGGCGCTTGTGCATTTGGGACGTTTGGAAACAAGGCAGGGGCCCGGGGGCCGCGCTGGCTCTTCCCTTCCCGAGCTTGCCGTAAAACCCCCTGTCTAGCGGCTAGCATCTTGTGAACCCCTCTTATATTTGCGTGCACGCGCCGTGTCGTCTGTTGTACCTATGCTATCCCGGCGGCAATCCCGTGCTTCATTAGCAGCAGGTCGACAGACCTGCTTGGATGCCTTTGGTGGTCTCCGCCCGAGGCCAGGGGTGCTGCGCTTGTAACCCTTGGGGTGTACGTGTCGATGTTGTAGGACCGCTCGTCCAGCCGGTGACCCACTTTGAGGCAGTCAAGCACCCAATCGTGGTGCACAATGAACAGGCCCCATTCCCGCGCGTGCCTGTGATTTACATACACAGTAGTTGGACGCACGTGGGAAATGAATTGCTCACAACCGGAACTGAAGGTGGTAAGCTTACGTGTACTTGTTACCTCCAGGCCTGTTACCCACGAGGTGAGTAGTATGGCGGAAGAGCTCCGGGGAGTAATTGGCCTTTCCCTGCTTCAGCTGGAGCACCACCGCGTCGCGTTCCCTGGCACCAAAGTTGGTGATGCTGACCTTGATGCCGCTGAAGGGCGATAAGAGGTACGAGCTGGCAGGCACCTGCAGTACAAAACGCGACTTTACTTGTACTTACCTGTCATCCATGCTTGCTTCATTGCATTTAGGTCTTTGCAACGCTGCACGGACATTGCCAGAGGCGGAGAGGAGTTAGGAGCTCCGGCGTGCACCAACCTTCCACTCCTCGGCCTGGCAGGCTGACAGCCATTCTGTCGACACCACGATTAACTTGGGATTGGCCTGGATTGAAGTCTGCATTGAAAAGGCATTACTGATTCAGGCCATGATTGGTGTGGCATAATTAGCAAAGCAAAGCTCACGATGTATGGGTCACTTCCATCAGGTAGTCGAAGCACATTACCGGCTACCAAGTAAGTCGCTTTTGAGGCTTCAAGCGCGGTTAAGATTGTTGCTCCAAGGGCTGAAGCAGTCTCCGTCAGGTTCTGAGTATTGTGGGGTGCTGTGTTTCCGAACACTATGCCAACTCCATGTAGACACCCCATGATTATTGCCTGTGAATGCCTGGAACTAGGCGTTGCTGTGGAAAATTAGCGGGCTGTCACCGCCAAATTTTTGTGCCGTACCGACAGACTTGCTGTTGTTACCTCTTAAAAAGGCCCATATAAGTTACATAATGTTTCCAAAGATTTGCAGCTTTAGAGACTTGCGCACATGCCATGTGGAATGTACACCGGTGGACATGGCTGTGGAACTTCTACCGTTTCCTGTCTCTTGCTATGTAAGAGTAATACCCCAGCCGCTATTGCATCCCTAAGGATGAATGGCAGTGATTATTACACGTACTGTGCTGTCTGTAGGAAATCGAGGAGAACGCTTGCCTTGGGGATGGACCCAGTTCTGCCGTTTCCTCTTACCGCCACTTAGGAAATGGACATATCTGAATTCCTACCTGAATCATCTATAGACAGCTACCTGTCCATCGGCGACCCACGGAACCGGCATTTGTCAACCCAGCCGCGCTCCCTCTCTTCACCGGGTAGCGACGATCCAGCAACTTACCATTCCCGTGTGCTCTCCGCAGCTCCAAACACAAATATCGATCAACATCAGGATTACAGGAAAGGAATTTCCCGGGACAGCTCGTCCACGAACACGTCAGGTGTTTTTCGTCCGCGAGTTGCTTTTGCTGATCCACCAGTGCTTAAGCAGTCCGACTTGATGCAGCAGACGGGACACGCGATGGTTCCCAAGCCACCACTCGCAACTTCACCTGCGTCAGGTGCCCCCCAAGGCCTCAAGCCCTCCCCGAGCACGTATACTGCCAACACGCGCAGTGGTGATGCAACCCGTACAACCCCCATGGCAAAACATTCCGCGTCTAGCTTGCGTGGCACACCTGCAAAAGGAGACCTCTACACTGCCCTTGAGGCGGAGCTTGCTGACATTGAGCAAAGGTGCGGACCTTGCAACTACGCTGACGCGTCTGGACACACGGGCTTGTCGCTGGGATCGGGCAAAGGGGTAGCCGAAGAAGAACTGATCGGAGGGCTAGGCAAATCGGTTACCTATCCACATACCAGACTGCCTTAACATCTAATCTCCGCTGTAAGCTTCGAGCCAAGAATGCGCACGCTCATACACGCGTTGTCACGCGTACCCTTTTGCGATGGCATTGTTTGTATGGCCGCCTTATAGCGCGGCCTTTGCTACGTCAAACCGTGCGGGCTCGCAGGTACATTGCTGAGGGCACCGATGCTGACCCAACTTCAAAAGCACCGACGCCGAGGCACGGTAGCCCGCTTCCTCACCAACGGACGAGTCCCTGCCTGTCATCCACTGGCAGTGCCAGCGGTTACACCGGTGGCTTTCCGTCGGGGCCTGTGACGGCGGCGTCCTTACCCACACCCCGCCCGAAGTTGTCAACGCCGGTTTCCTCTCCTCCATTACTTCTTACCCATCGCAGTCACCACGCCGTATCGCCTCCGGACAGGGGGCCCTCGCAGCTGTCCAGCTCGTCGCTGGGCGCCAGCAGCCTGGGGCATCGGGCAAAGCATCAGCCGGTGGAGCGCGAAAGCTCGCCAGGACGCAGCGGTGACTCGTCACCCACACCGCCCTTCTTTGCAAATGTATGCGTACGTACATTACCTCCAAGTAAAGAAGCAGACCGACTGCAACGCTTGGCGGCCCAACTGGCGGCGTCGCTGGACAGCGCTCCTCAGCAGACTATGCCGGTGCCAACAGCCCGGCTGGATGTTGGCGCGGCCTGTTCAACCGGTCCAGCTCACTCAGTCCCGTCGGGTCTCCCAGCTACGGCAGCTGACAGCGGTGGGGAATATGCCGCGCGTATTGCGGCTTTGGCGGCGATTAGGCCAGCAACAGCGGAACGGCACGACAAGGCGTCCATACCTCATGCGTCGGGTAATGCCGTAGCGCTGGGGCCCGCAGCTGCGAGATCGCTTGTGGACTTTGGCCACACGGTGGGTGAGAAGCCGTCCGTGGGGAATGCCCTGCAGCCCTTAGCGGGCAGGCCTGCCACAGGTGCACAGCTTCCGCCCGGAGGCTCCTCTGGCGGCTCGTTCCTTGGTGCCCTGGAGGCTGTGATACGGGACGAGGCAGCGATGATTCGAGAGGAGGCAGCCCGGAGTCGTGCCGCTGCTGCGATTGCCGGTGGGCCGGAAGCGGGCAAGGCGGCCGCGTCCGCAGCCAATCAGCCGATTTCATCTGCAACGAGCACAGTTGGAGCGCTGGGCCACGCTGTTGCTGGCACCAACGCTTGGGCGGGGGCTGCTCCGACTGACACAATGGCTGCCGCAGCGCTTTCTCCCGTCGCTGGGGGAGCGTCTACTGCCTTGGATGCTGCCGACCCTGTGCAGCGGGTCAGTGCTGCGCGGTCGCTGGCGGCGCTTTTTGAGTCCTATTGGCGGGGCGGAGGCGGCGACCCTCCCATAACCTCGCCGCGCATGCAGGAGAGTCAGGGCCCAGGGCGTGAGCGGGAGCTGCAGCCGCCGCAGGAGCGGGATCAAGAGGCTGGAGGCCGCCTGGCATCTAGCATGCAGCGGATATTCCCCAGCAATGGCTCCCCCCGACTAGGATCAACCTGGCCCCTGCCTCAGCACGGGCCAAGTGCCGCTGCACGTGAAGCCCGACCAGCGCGTCTGCCGCTATCGCAGTCCCAAATCCATCTCCAGCCCCAGCTACAGATGCCCCAGCAGCGGCACGAGTCCTCTGAGCCCGTCCATCAGCTACCTCAGGGCCTCGGTCGGGAACATGTGACGCCACACAGTCAATACCTAGACAGCGACGCTCAAGGCGGGGATATGTTCGCTTCCATTGACGCGGGCAAGCTGGTACTCGGGGGAGGGAGCTTAGGTCGGATCCGGAGGGGTGCCAGTACCGGCGTCGGCGTCGGCAGCAGTGTCGGCAGCGCAAGCTGTAGTGCCGGCGGCGGCAGCACCAGCACCAGCGGCAGTGCAAGTGTTGCAGGAGGCCCTTGCACTCGTGGGCTATCTCTGCTAGACTTGCTGACAGCGGAACTAGCGGGAGACGGGCCTCACGCCGCCACCGGCGGGATGAGTCCACCGGCCGGTGTCCGCACGGCCTCAAGTGGGGGTGGGAGCTATGCTGGCGTCACGGAGCCTCACGGCACTGCAGGGGACGAGTCAGCAGCAGCGCGCGTGACGTCCGCTGCCAGTCAACGCGCTGAGCTGGCGACACAACATGGCAAGCAGCCAGCTCTGGTCCAGGCAACGGCGGGACCTGGGATCCAACCGGAAGTACGGCAATCGGTGGAAGGGTTGATCGCGGACGTGGAAGGCCTGATCACGGACCTCGGCGCCGTTGCCAAAGCAAGTTTCGAGCACCCGCGAACAGACAGGGAAGGCCACGAGGAGCGCGATGCCCCCAAGCAGCGCCAACATCAGCAGCACGAGGAGCCACAGCTGCAGCAGGCACGGCTGCGGCAGTTGCAGCAGCCGATATCTCAATTGCCCTCGCCAGCTCCTCTACCACGCTCACCGCACCAGCCTCAGCCGGTGAGTGAGCCGCAGCCGCCAACATCCCAGGGGCAGGAGCATCAGCCACAGTGCCCTCCTGCAGCGCTGCAGCCGCTGCAATTGCAGGGTTCACAGCCGCGGCCGCCACCGACACAATCGACACCACCGCATCCGCATCTGCATCTCGGCACGCTGGCAGAACAGATACATGCGGCCCAACAGCAGCTTTGCACCGGCTCAGCGCGCATCAACCCTGGCCCGGATAGCCTTGGTGTTGCAGATGGAAGGCACCATTGTGGCGTTACGCCCCTCACCGTTACCAGTCTCGTGCGCGAGTGGTTGGAGGCGAGCGGCTGCCAGTCAACTACGACCCAGATCGCCAACACTGTCCAGGGCCCGGCATCGCATTCCAAGCACCATAGCTTTTCGCCGTCCCGCCTGGGCCGGCCCCCGACGAGGTCATCAGCAGTGAAGGAGCAAAGGGTTGCATCCAAACGGGCGGAGGCGGCCGCAATGGCGCTGTTGGAAGAGATTGAGAAGAGGATCGAGGTGCAGCGGCAATGGACGACAGAGGAGCACGGAGAAGACGAATACGCATGGATGGCAGAAAAGAAGGCAGACGATCAAGAAGAAGAAGAAGAAGGAAAGCAGGACGAAGAGGAGGAGGAGGAGGAGGGGCAGAAGGCAGGGGTGCAGGGTGATGCTCCCTTGTTCGGTCCGCCCCCCAGTTTTGATGATGATTGGCTTCTGCAGCAGCTGAACTCCCGTGCCAACAAGGCACTGGGTCCAACAGACACTCGGCCGCCATCAGAGGAGCCCCTTCAGTCGGCACGACAGGCGGCCCTGCAGGCCTTGCAACGCAAGCTGTCGGAGGTGACGGTGAGCAGGTTCGGGGCCATCGGAACCAACGGCCAGGCCAGGCCATTTATGCCATGGGGAGAGAGTTATTGACCGGGGGCAAGCAGTTAGGGTGGCGGCGCTCGCGCACTTTACGGGGATACGTGTAGAAAACCGGTTTGTGTGGAGAACTGCTGTCCGTAACCCGGGATGCTGCGGCCACGAATGCAGCGCGTGGTCCCACGAATACTGTTTGTAGGTGCCTGTCACTTAAGACTGACCAGCATGCATCCTCGACAGCATTAGAGGACGACTAGGCAGCACTTCGCCCCACGAATGGCACGCGCTTTTATGGGCACTGTTTTTGTGTCATTACATCTTTAGTAGATGTGCACCTTGCCAAGCTGCGCGTAAAGACATCCAACAACTCAAAAGCACATATGGATCACACGACGTGTCCGCCCCTGTCGCATCCCCGTGTATCCCGTTGGTGGTCGCACCAGGCCCGCTACAATGCCAGGAGACAGCGGCGGCACGCAGGTCGAGCAGGTGGAGCATCCTGCACCGGCCGCCCCGGAAGCGGCCGACATGGCAGCAAGACCCTGCCGGACTGCGGGCCCCAACAGCAGGACGGCTATCACGACCATCAGCACCACCGCTACGACCGTGCAGCAGGGCACCAAACATTCCAACTGCAACCAACTTCTTGCCCGGGAACTGGCCAACAACAATGCACTTCCTTGCAGCACATCCTTGCGCAGTTGGCCACCCCAATGCACTGCACCGCGGCTGCTGCGCCGGGAGTTAACAAAGCAGCAACCACCGTAACAGGAGCAGCAGCAGTAGCTCCTAGAACAGCGCCAGGAGCAGTGCCCGCAGCAGCCAGAGCTGCTGCCGCCGCCCCGCCCATCACCAAGGCTCCGAACCACTTAGCAGGCGCCGCCTTGACCAGCGGCGGCCCCACCGGATCGCAGGCAGCGAATGCCCCGAGCCCGCATGTGCAGAGTGGGCCCTCCTCGCTACCAGACCCGTCATCTTTGATACCGATCCCTGGGCCAGCTGCTTCCTTGAACATCTCTGCTGCCAACCAGTTGCCGGCACACACCACACTAGGTGACGGCGCTGCTTCCAGCGCTCTCGATGTATGGCGAGTGCTCAGGGCCGCGCCTTCTCCGGCTTCTTTTCTGCCTCCTGCTGCTGCGCCGGCGGCGGCGCTAACGCCGCCCGTATCCACATTGCATGCAGCAGGGCCACCAGGAGTGGCGGCCATGGGGCCGCAGGTATGGCTCCCCGGTAGCCTGCTGGGCCATCTCAGCGCGCGGTACCAGCGTGTGCTTAAGGACAACATCCGGCCGCCCTGGGACCAGTCTCTCTCCACCTCAAAGGACGCCCGTATCCCGTCCTGGCCTGCGGTCCTGGGCATGCGGTTCGGGGTGGTTGATGGGCTGCGCGTGAGCCACCAGGAGGCTATGCGTGTGCCAGCAAGCAACTCAGCGGCCCTGACTATGGCACCAGTCGTGTCTGCGCCGGCTGGCGCGTCATACTGGCTGCCTCAGGCCGGATCATCATTGCTGCCGCCACAGCTGGGCCAGTCTCCGTCTTTACAATCGCACCAGGTCTTTAATGTAGGCACACGACATGCTATTGTGGCACCTGCGCTTGCGCATGCGGGGGAGCCTCCGTTCATGTCTCCTGTTGCCCACAACCGTACAGCCGCCGAAAACGTTGTCCCTGTCCCCTGGGGCTCGGGTCATATCCCCGGAGATGTCGCCGCGTTCCCGTCCACCTACGGCGCCACCACAGCCGCTACCCCCCAGATGGTAACGCCGACACCGGCCCCGACTCCGGATGCCCGGTTCCGGCCCCTGCGGGTACTAACAGAGCCGCACGCCTCTGCGCCGATGCCTGTGATTGCCCGGGGGGATGTGGAGGAGATTCACGCGCTGAGCGCGATGGCGCAGTCGCTGCCGCACTTGGACCCCCTGGAGCGAGTCCAGCTGTGGGAGCAGCTGGAGCAGTGCCTGGCGCAGAAGCTTGCACGGAGCCCGCGTGGCCATATACACGGGGCCAAGCGCAGAGTCTCGAGCCCAGGCGCGGGTCCAGGCATTTCGCCCAACAGCTTCCGCAGCGGCGACCTGTATAGCAGGGCCAACTCGCCGTTGCGTGGCTACGCCACGGTTTGGGAGCGCCGCCACCGCTACGGCAGCTGCAGTAGCGGCGGTGGCAGCAGCCGGGACGGCAGTGGCGGTGCTTGGAGCCCGAGGGAGCGGCATGTGAAATGGCGCATGGAAGAGGGCCTTTCTGTTCGTCAGGGCGGCCAGGGCAGTAACGAGGCAGATGTGGGCGTCCGCAGCATGTCGCAGCAGCACCTGGTAGGCCACAGCTCGGGCATCGCGGCCAGTGTGCGTGCCGGTGTACGGCCAAGTCCGGAGGCTGCTGGTTCCGGGTCTGCACCAGGCAGCCTGTTGGACTCGACCCTGGAGATGGTGCACAACGTAATTGCGCCCAACGCGACGCTGGCACACGCGCTTTCGCTGAACTGGCAGAAGCTCAGGTCGCAGGGTATGACCAGTCGCGTTGCTGGCCGACAGGGAGAGCTCACGGCTGAGAAGGCGACGAGAGCGTGGCGTGTCCAGGACGGGGCGCTGGCCACAAACATTTCGCCGGTGTCTTCTGTGGACGGCCGAAGGGAGCGAATTCGCGGCTAGCGGAAGCTTCTGCCCGGCTGCCCCTCCTTCCGGCCCCAGGGACCGAGATGCCAGAAAGCTGACCTGGCAGGTCCGGACCAACCGTGAGAGGTTGGAGCGAGCAAGGCCTGAGGGATGGTGGTGGACTAAATCGCACCCAGGATGGCGTGCGCTGAAGAAAGAAAGTTCCCGTGTGTGTTTCAGTGAAGCTATGCTCGTACGAACCTATTGAGTAAAAGCACGACAGGTTGAGTTGCTGTGCGATCTTACAGCGACGTACCAGGTGCAGTCAACCCAGTGATGGTGCAGCTGCCTGTTATTGTGCGATCACCTGCTTGATACACTGACGGGGTATCCCTCTGGTTGCCAGGAGTTATTTATACAGGATGGTGCTTGAAGATGTGTGTGTGTGTTCTCGCCTGACGTGTGGCCATGGTCGGATGCACTGTCGATCCATTCAGGGGTCTACTGCAACACATTCATTGATTGACTTCACTCACCTGCATTAAGGTCTGGTGCGCTAACCGTGCTTGCAGAGAACCGCACGGTGTCGCAAACTTCCCTGCAGATTGCGGCTGCGCCCAGTGCGGCCCCAGTGAAGCATGCTGTAGGGTAGACGTGCATGCGCCCGATTGGGTTGCGAGTCACATTGACTCGCGGAAGCAGTGGGGGGTTCGATTGCACATGCACTCCCCGTGACCCCTTGCCGTTTAGTGCAATTGTCTCAGCGTGCGTGTGCACGTTGGATGCTATAGCACCTACAACTCTACGTGACCTGTTGGGGCATCCTCGCCGGCTTGCAGCCCCACAGGACTCTTCATCCATTCATGTACGACGGCGACAAACGCAGAATTGTGAAAAAAAGAACTGCGCCGTCACAGCGCGGGGTTAATGAGTTTGGTGGCGTGACCTAGACTCGAGCGGTTTCAATTGGTACGGGTCTTGCGCATGTACAGCGTGGAAGTGCCCACAACTACATATAAGGATAGAGCTGAAGAGAGCTCCAGCGGGAAGGAGGCCGCAGCTTTGACGAAATAGAGACCCTAGTGCTTGACGTCGTAGGCCATTTGTTTGCAAATGCGCCGTGCTCTTATTGGATAACATTGCAAGTCCGTAGCACGTGCATGGTATGCCATCATCGTACTGAATCCAATCCGATAGAATTGATTTAAGTAGTATTGAGGTGGTTGATGCGCATAGCAGTGGTGGTATGACTCTGGAACCTCTGTTGTCAGACCCCTCGCAGCCTTTTGAGTACCCCTGAAGCAGCAGTAACTGTATGCACCTCCGTAGCCACCACGCGACGCAGTCAAGCGGCATTTGCGAAGATGGCCTCATGGATCTCACACACACCTCCATGCTCCCGCAGTCAGGACTGCTGCAATCAGCGCTGACACTATCATTCTACGCCTGCAGCTCCCTTGTTTTCGCCCACAGCTACGCAGTCCCCTCCGCCTTCTACGCTCGTTGGACCCCGTGCCCATAAGCAACCTGTATCCCACCTCTATGGGGCTAGCAAAGACGCTCTGGTAACGGACGCAACTTGACATTCATGTAACGTGCTGAACTATCTTCGAGACTATAGCCAACTCTGCTTCATTACAGCAAGTATACGGAAAACACCTGGAAATAGATACCCCAGGCAAAAATCGCCACACACAGGAAACTTGCATTTGTAGTTCAATGGCTCTTACATGCAGGCCCGGACTGTGCAACTCCTCTCGGCACTCGAGTCTCCAACCTGTCGCTCTAGCAGCTCCACGATGTCCGCAAGTCATGTCAACCTTGTCTCTCTCCTCCCGACAGTCTTTCCTGGCATCCCTAACCCCGTAACGCAGCCGTGGGGCGCGGCTAATCCATCACTGTGCTCAGGACTGGACTCAGCAGCTCGCAGTACAGCGCCCTCAGCCGGTGGGCCGACTGCTCCACAAGCTGCCGTGCATTGCTGGCGCGCTCTGGGTCCGGGAAGGCCAACACCCAATGGCCGTCCACTAGGTGCCGCAGCGCGCCCAGCAGACCACCCTTGCGACCCGCAGTGGCAGAACGCAGTAAACGCATCAGGCCCCGCACAGACGGCCGCACGTGCACATGCAGCCACTTGGCCACGTTCTTGTCGACGGAGGGATCGCAGCCCAGCAGCGGCGACACGGACAGTACGATACCCGCGTTGAGGCGTGTGGGGGACGGATCGGCTAACACCACGGCAGGGGAGCTGTGCAGCACCACGGACTGAGAGCCAGGATCTGACAGCAGCGCCTGAGTGCATTGGGAAGCGGCCGGACCGCATTGTCATCTGTACGGGTTACTCTGGCCTATTCGGAGTAGAACAGTTTACCAAATGGCTGCTGCTCATATGGTACGACTGAATGCACGAGAAGCATGTGCATGCGCCATGGCATATGCCTAGACATCGATAAAGCCTTAACGAGATATTGTGCGGCATGTTGATGCTCCTCACCTGGGGATTCTGCAGGTACTCGCCAACACGGCGCAACGCGGGCCCCGCTGCAGCAAAGTAGACCCTTCGCTCCTGGCCCGGCGAGAACGAGACAATGCAAGGTATCGCGGAGCCCGCCTGCGCAGGGGCAGGTGAGGAGATGATTGAGATCCTGCGGCCTTGCGCAAAACGGCGAGATTAGCGACCCGGGACATCACTGAGCGAATTTTGCTCTGTATCGCGGCAAACCACAGTGCAAGACGTGACCCTGACCCGAAGTTCCTCCTCTCCGTCAAGGTCTACGTTCGTTTTCCGTCACTTTGTTGACCTATGCCTGGCACGTACCCACCTGCAGTTCCACCTCTTGGCCCTCCAGGACGTCCCACTCACGCCCCTCCACATCCGCGCCAGCGGGCGGCGGAACTGTGGCCGGGGGCGTCCGCTCCGTGGTGCCCTTGCAGAGCAGGTCGTGCACCAGCAGCAGCGCCACGAGGCGGGCTACTGCATGGTAGCTGTGCAGCGCAGCCACCGCAGAGCCGCTCAGGCCCTGGTCATTGCGACCAGCAGCGGACAAACCTAGGAAAGGGGCCAAGAGGAACAAGAACGCAGAAGGCCGTGAAATGAGTCCACCTGAACACTTTTCCGGTCTTGCCTTCTTGGTAAGTGGAAAATGGCACGGGCTTAACTAGCTAACAGCATCGCTGTTATGACCGCTTTCCACGGACCACGCAACCAGCTGGCATAGACGTCAGGCGTACTACTGACTGACTGACCAGGCGCTACCCCCAGTTTACTCACACACCTCTCGCGTTCTGGCGGGGATAGAGGTGCGGCCCCGCCATAAGCTGCTCCGCACCCGTGCGCAGCAGGGGCCGCATCACCGCGTCGTGCGCCGCAGGCCATTCCATGACAAGCATCGCCACCAGTGCGTCACACCACATGCCGCCCACCTCATCCAGCACTGCGCTCGCTGCCGACACCGCCGCCACCCGCAGCGCCTCCCGTTGCCCGCTGCTTAGCTCGCATGCCCAGCCAACAGTGCTCGAGGGGTCTAACGGATGCGGCGGAGATGAGGGCTGCCGCGGGGGCTGTTCCAACCCGCCGGAGCCAGCATCACCCGTTCCAGCGCTTTCATAATTCAGCAGATCCGCAATAACTTCCCCAGAAGGCCCAGCTGCTTCAATGCCCGACTGCCGTTGTTGAATTGTTCGCTGTTGAAGGTCTAGCTCGCGTTGCTCCTGGATACGCGGGTAGAGCTGCTGTAGCAGGTAGCATACGTGCCATAGCCCCGGCACGGGCAACAGCTGCATGGACAGCAGCGCAAACAGCGCATCATGCACGTCCGTGCTTTTTGAGACTGCTACGACCCGTGCATGCGCGGCACAAAGAAGGCCGCTGGGCAACAGCGGCGGGGGTGGCGCTGCTGCTGGCGGCGGCGGCGGTGCGGCTGGAGGGGGTGGCGGCGGCGGCGCCGTTGTCGCAACTGCCGTCGCCGTCCCTGTCTGCGGCGTCCCCTGGAGGGAGATGCTTTGTGCCGCGTCTGCACCAACTTCTTCTTCCGGCCGTCCTGGGCCTGAGGCTAGTGCACATGGCAGTGTGGCAGAAGTAGACGTATCGTCTAGGACGCCCACGGCCATCGCGGCGGTGCTTACACGATTGCCAGGAACGTGACCCATGTCACCGCTGGCCACGCCGATCTGCGGCCCCGGTGAGGCAGATGTGAGGGTTAAATCCCAAGCCCCTAGCGACTCCGCCAAATCAAAACTTGGATAACGCGCTGGTACCTTGGCATCCGTAGCAGCTTCCAACCCCGTCCCAAACGCGGGGCTGCTGCTTTCGCCGTCAAACGTGGTAACCACTAGTAGTTCTGCCTCGGGCACTGGACCGCCCGGTGCCGCGGGCACTTCTGCCACCTCAGCCAGTGCCTCATGCGATGCTTCCCTTTGTCCGGCATCTGGCAACGGGCCAGCTGTGCCTGCTTTCGAGGGTGCCACGCTTGGAATGACATCCTGGCGGGCCGCAGAATAAGGGGGCTCTAGGGGAGAGTCCAGTAAGTGCCCCGACGCTGCGCCCAGCGAAGTGCTAGGGCCCTGCGCCGCTCCCAATGATGCACTAGGCGCCAACTCTGAGCTTGACGACACTGATGCCGATACGTCGCCCGTACCCAGGCCAAGCAGGTCAGCAAGCGCCCCTACTGCCCTGGCTGCGGCCGCTCCGGCTGCGGCAAGGCCCGCAGCGTCCCCCTGGTTGCAAGACGCATCAGAAGCGGCTGCTAATGCATTCGACGCCGACACACCATCAAGCATCAGGAGGTCCATGTCCTGCCCAGTGTGCTGCTTCGGTGCCGTTTGCGGCAATGCATCTAAGGGTCCCGCATCGCCCTGACCTAGGAGGTCCACCTCTGACGCCCGTGCAAGAAATTCGGCATTACCCCCAATAGCTGCTTCAGATGAGCCATACTCGGTCAGCGACGCTGTCACATCCTGCCGCTCCACCGACATTAAAGCCCCCTGTCTTGAGCCTGCCGCATTGCCAATGTGGGGTGTGTCGATGTGATCCCCAAGAAGATCCTGTGTCGCCACCTGCTTCCCAGTTGCAGCTTCCCCATCGTCCGTGCCCGATTCTGGCAGCCCGACGTCAGCAGTTGAACCCCCGTAAGATTCCGGTACGCCGTCATTGTTCCGATCGGATTCGATGCCGTAACCTTGCTGAGCCAGCGCCCACTCTGAAGCCCGCTCCAGGTGGGTCCAAAGAAGGTGGTACCCAAACACCAACGGACTACCACCGTTAGCCCCGGATGCCACCGTCGCCACAGACTGTGCCTCCTCCGCCAGCGGATCCGGCGGTGCGCCCGCTGCCGGGCGGCCTTCCGCCACCGGCGGCAACTCTTCACACAGCTGGCAGCTGGCGCAGGAGCCCGCTGCACAGGCCGTGTGTAGATCCGCAGCCCTAGACCGTGGCACCAACCCCATCAGCGATAGTAACTCTGGACTGATGTTGCGGCTGTGCAGGATTGCGACTAGGCAGCGCAGCGCCGCCGGTACGGCCCGGTGGTCCTCAGAGCGCAGCACCGACACCAACGCGAATCGGCAGCTGGGATGACCAACCCGTGGATCCAGCAACGCTAATGCTAGGTTGTGCAGGAGCGGCGTGTAAGTAATGAGCACGAACAGCCGCTCCAGGCAATAAAGGCTGCAGGCGGTCCGGACGATGGGCAGCGACACCGCGGGGCCGGGAGAGGCGGGCGTGCCTCCCGCACTGGTGCGGCGAGAGCCTGCCGGCATCCGGTGTGTAAGTTCACGAGGCAGAGTGTATGGTTATCGGTAAATTGACGTACTGTCTTACCAAGACCAACACATGCTATGGGCAACCACTGATGCGAAGGATGCTAAACAACACAAACCCGCAGACCAGCCCTCCGCTATTTTGCTTTCGTTGGCATGCTAATTCAGCTGGCTTGATACCAGTCGCCCCCGGCCGTCAAAAATGGGGTTTAGTCCGGGTCCCTTGCGCCGAAGCCCCACCTCGGATAGGGCCTAGAGCGCAGAGGCAGCTCGTATCAGCAGGACAATCAAATGTAAGGCTTAGAAATTATACATGATCTCAAATATAAGCAACGCACTGACCTGAGTTGCTCCGCGCCGCTGCCTTGCTGCTGCCGTACTCCAACAGCGGGCGCAACAGGTATGGCCCAACCAGGGAGACCCACAACTGCTCGGCTACGAAATGCGCTAGCCTCGGATGCGCTGCAAGGAGGGCAGTTGACACAGGAGCGGAGCCATTAGACGTGTGCAAGGAAACCCTGGCCGCCTCCCCACGCCTATTGTTCAGTCCTTTCAAAAAGACTGCCACTGCGCTCGCCTGATGTTTTCACCTATACATAAACTTTGTGCGCAAATGCACAGAGATGCCAAGCACACACCTTCAGGACTGACGCAGACACTTAAGTTTCAGAACATACCGTGGGTCAAGATATCCGCCACGTACGATATCATATCTTCCACCTCCGCCAGCTGAGAGTCCAGCGAGGACAGAACCTGTGCGCTGAAGCCCTCTGCCACAGCCATGCGTTTATCCAAGATCTGGCGGGACCAGAGGGAGACTGGCAGTGAGGATGGTATGTTCAACAGAGTGGCACGAATGCCGTCCCAAGGGTCTTTGAGCTAGGCCTTGGCCGACCCAATCCAGGCCCAGTCAGGCTTAACTTTAGACCCCCTTTGACATCGGTTTCCATCGCGCCTACCTTGATCTGGTCCGCGATGTACGCCACCATTTCAGCAAAGTAAGCCGTGGCGGGGGGCCGGCACACGAAATCCTGAATATGCTCGTCTGGCACGGAGTACACGTTGAGCGTAAGTGTCCGAACACCAGCCCGAACCATCCCCTCCTTATGGTGGGCAAACTTGATTGCCTCCGTATAAAGGGGGAAAGTACACGCGTTTTCACGCCTGTCAAAGAAGAAGTGCACCGTGCGCGCATTGAGCTTAAGGCTGATGGTTTTCAGGAAGGAGATATAGTAGCCCAGCACTTCCTCGTCCTCAAAGTCGAACCTGATCTCCACGATGTTGTTGATGTGGTTGTTGCTGAAGAGGAAATAAGTACCCGTCTCACTGCGAATGTTCTGTATGATTATGCTCAATGTTTGCAAGACCTGCTTTGCCACGTCCCCTGTGCGATTGGCCGGCTGCTGCAAAACGCGGTGCAGATAGTGCATGACGTTGTTTTCGAGGAAGTAATCGAAGATGCGAGGTTCGTTCTGGTCGCCCCATATCATGAACTCTGCAATTGAGCGGATAGTCTCCACCACCAAGGCGCGGTTGGCCTCCGTGACCACCTGATTTTTGTTGAGGACATCGGACAAAGCCCGCAGCTCCTCAAACGTGAATTTCGTTCGACCAGAAGTGGCAGTCCCAGTGAAAAGGGACTGCCAAAAATTCTTCTTAAGGAAGCTTTCAAACATTGCCAGCCTCGTAAAGCTAGGACTTGCCGAATACTTGACTACCCAAATTGTTTTCAAACACTAATGATTCAATATTTATCTACATGTTTCTTGTTATATAATGACAATAGGAATAAGGAGAACAAAGAAGGTCAAGCAACAGGGGTCAGCCAGACAGCGGCGTTCACATACGCCTAGCAGTAACCGTGAAACATTACTGATAAAAACACATATGTACGATCATGTATCTGTTACATGTTGCAGTTGCCACATCACGGCACCGAACGGCGACATGATGCACGGAAACTTGCTTCGAGCTTGGATGGTATCCCACATGAACACGGTACACATATCGTGAAAGATTTTAGTTTGTTGGGACTTTATAATCGTGTGTACACTCAAACAAGTTGTGTCGAATTCGGGTGTTTCACAGGGCCCCCTCAGACACAAATCGGCAATTCGCCTCTTACACGAGGAAGGAGAGACGAATATTATCACTTCCCATCTTTGAAAGTGGCGTAAGCGGTTTCAAGCCGCGGGCGGGTAGCAGGCTAGGCACTCATCCTTAGTGTTAGGCATGGCACCCAAGAAGAAGGCTGGTGGCAAGAAAAAGAAGAAGGATGATGGAGCTGAGCCCCCCCACGACGCTTGCTGGGAGCGGGTGCGTGAACAAGTTTGCATGTGAGCATTTCGTGCCTTTACCTGTGGAACCTAATCCCTACATCCTCAGGCGGTCGAGAGTGGAGTTTGGGAAAAACCTGTAACCGATTTACCGGACGCAAACACTTGGCCTACGTGGGGCGCCTTGCGCGAGCGCGTGCTGACAGCTTGCCGAGAGGTGCGCCGGGTATTTCTAGCGTCGTATATTGCCTTGCAACTGGGGGGGTCAGTTGTCAGAGGGGGTGCTCATCCATACAGCCCCGCAGCGCCGCCCATGTTATCGCATAGTTCTCATGCCCTGGAACCCATTTGTCGATAGGACCCTAGCCGTGCACTGAGCTCCTGCCTTGTGGGCCTAGCAGCAAACTCCCTGTCGCCGTCTCAGCATAGCGCCTGCTCCGCCGTTCGCATGGCTCCGCAGATTAAGATCCACAATACCGCTTCGCTCCGTGATGCATTCGCCAATGAGATCGTGAAGCTCTCCCCCCCTGAGCTCACCCTGGTGGATCTGCGGGGCTCGTCCAATTTGAGGAACTTCACGTTGTCGCCCATGGCCACCTGCCCCAAGCTGGCGGACCTAGACCTCTCGGAGTGCTCCTCGCTAGAATACGTGCTGCTGCAGAGCCAGACCCTGCGGTCAGTCAACCTGCGCAAGTGTGGTGCGCTTACCAAGGTGCGCCGTTGTCGCTGCACCTGGGGACTGTGGTTCTGGGGAAGCTGTCACTCTTGCGGGAGAAGGGTTCTGACGGCGGTCCTCCAAGGACTACCTGTGCGAGTGCTTGGCGCCTTTTCGCTTTGTAAGTCTTCTCATTTCTCACATTTTTGGAGCCGACTGAACCCCTGCCCGGCCGCCGTGTGTAGGCGCTCATACATTGCCCACGGCTAAACAAGCTGAGCATAACGGATTGCGCTCAGCTTGAAACAATTATGCTGTGGACGGACGAGCTGACGGAGCTTGACCTGACCGGTGCGTGGAAGGCAGATGGGCAGGTGCTTGAATACATAATTGCTTGCCGAAAGCGCGGTATTCGGCATAAAGATTGCATTTGCGAACCAAAGTTTCTTCACTTATGATTTGGGACTCCATTTTCCGGAGCAACGTGCCGTGGCTTTCGTATCTAGGATGTGCACGCGGATAATTGCCACATATAAAATTCACCACCACCTAGGTTCCACCTGAACAGGTCCCATCTGAGTCGCACAGCGTGGCCTCTTGAGATTCTCAACACTACGCCTCTGCTTGTTAACCTCTTGCCGCTGTAAAACATAGGCTGCAACAACCTGTCCGTGGTCAAGCTCCAGTGCCCCAACCTGCTCGACTCCAAGATCCCGCCGCTGAACCTTCCGCCGGCGCATGTCAAGCCCACCCACCCACCCATCTCATCGCTGCTGAAGGAGAACCTTACGGCCGCGGCGCACAAGGCTGCCTCCGAAAAGGAACAGCAGGACGCCATCAAGGACACCACGGATTCAATCATCCCCCACGTCTTCCGGCCATTCTAGAAGCTATTCTACGAAGCAGCACAATGATGAACACGCGGCGATGGCGAAGCCAGAATCGCCGATGGATTGAGGGTCATGCTGCCGGTACATATGGACCCTGACAGCACATCGATGGTTTTTGGATGACCCGTCACATTCAAATAGCCCCCATGGAAAGCTCTGGGCGCAAACATGAGAATGCACGTAGGCGTCGGGTCCAGGTCCACCCCTGAGTGCTGTGTAGTTACAGCCCTGCTGTCTAACACACGCGAGAGTTCTGAAAGGTTGTCTGCCGAAAAGCGCCAAGCCGATAAGATCCTGCGTGTTAAGTGAAGCTGGAGCGCTGCGAAGCGTGACTCCGGGCCAGCTGCAACCCTTCAAGGCGCCTTAGGTGGCCTTGCGCTGTGGCAGCTGTGACATCCCTTTTTCTTAAGCATCTCTGGTACTAGATCCTCGAACTGCGCAGCATGCAACTCGTTAGGTAGGTTTTTTTGGTTGCTCATAGCACGTGCTCCGCAAACCCTGGGGTTGAGGTTTCACCAGCGCAGCGGCCCAGGGCCAGAGGGCGTCCCCGACTGTACCCACTCATGTAATGCATCAGCCTTACCTCCTGTGAGCACTTCTGCCAAGCAGACCCGAAGCCACAGCCAGCTCCAAACGAAGTTAGCACAGCCCGACTCTGGCCCCCTCCTGCGGGATCCCACGTCATCCATTAAACCGAAGGAAGTTAACAATTAGCCAATCATGTCATATGCACAACCGACGCACACGCTGCATTTTCAAGCAAGACGGCAACGGCATCCCTACTTAGGATTAAAAGTGATAGCAGTCCAGCGATGCCAGTGCCATAAACAGTTCTCCGCAGCGTCTGCATGAATCGAGGTGATGGCCGTGATTCCGTGAGCGAAGAGCTTTCGCTGTTAGATGAGCTCAACGCAGCCGTCGCACCGTGTCCACCAACACGTCGTATTTGTGATCAATAGCAAGCTCTTTTGGAACGTCTCCAGATGCCATCTCTCGATAGACGCGTGGATCACTGAGTTCCGACGTCTGAGCTATGATGCTTCGCTGGACAGTGTAATGCACGATGCCTATGGGTCCACTCTTCCACTTAGGTACAGCACATATCATACGAAACCAGAGTTGACATATTTGTCTCTTGAAGTTCCGACAGGCTGACCTGTATTACGTAACTGTTGTGCATCGTAACTACACCATGCAGTACTATTCCGACACCGCCCTGGATAGTGCTTTAACAAGGGCAACAGATATGAGGGAGGCTCTTGGCCGGAATAGGCCATAAACCCGGCCCCGTGGATCTGTATGGAACAAGCGCCCTGCACGCGTAGCTACTGCGAAAGCGCTGATGTAAGGTCCCTCTATGGCCGGGTTGGGTTGCATCGGCTTTGCTTCCTCGCTCGGGATGAAGGTAGGTAGCTCGTCCCCTTTACTGCTAAGCAGCGGCTATGCCTCCTTACACCTTGCCCACCCGTTTGCACTTGTCCGTAGCTAGCCGGCCGCCGAATATTGGAGGACCGTACGGTTTATTCCTGTGTCTCTGGAAGCATAGTCACATGCACGTGCATACAGTCCACCCAAAGGAAGTTAGGACGGTATGACGTCACCGAGTCGGATCACGACAACCTTCCATTCAACACCTAAGACCTAAGCGAAATGCCGCCATGGCTTTAGTATTCGGCAACTGTGCTGCAATCAATTAGGATACATCCCCGCCTGGCCCAATCAGTAATGTGTCCTATCCATGTGCGTCCGCGTCCATGCCATTCCACACGCTCTACCTAGTCTTCCTCCACCTCGTCAGGCGGTAGCAGCTACCTCCGCTATTTGCGCCCATACGCGCCACTTGTCTCGCTACATACGGACATTGCCTCCCAACACCGGCGCCGTATCCGCGTCCTAGCTACTTGGCCCCGCCGTCGACGCAACCCCACTGAGCTGGAGCTCCCACCCCTGCAACTCCTTTCGTCCGTCCTACAATGACTTTCCAGCCACAAACGTCCTGCGCCTCACCACCTGCCGGCAGCCAGCTCCATAAGCAAGCCAGGAGCCCCTCAGCCACCAACCCCACAGCAGCACCAAAGCCCTTCGACTACATGTTTGGGTAATGCTGCATACACAGTCCATCTAGCCCGGTGTAGCCTGCAAAGCGGTAGGGCCCTGGAGGCTACGGAAAAGCAGGGGCCGGCGCCAGCCTGCTCCCCGCCCTCAACGAAATACCTCGTCCTCGTCTTCGCCTTCTTCCAAGATGCCAGCACCCAGCCGCAAGTCACGCCGCGCCTGCTTGGCCCAGAGCTCGTTCCGCACAATGCCAATCCGAATGTCCATGCGTCGCATCTCCTTGCGCATGGTGCGCATGGCGTCGTGGATGAGCTTAATCTGCCGCGAGCCGTCCAGTCCATCCGTCTTGTCCTGTGTTGCAATTGGAAATACACAATGCGGTGCAGCGAGGCGCATGTAGCCATTTGAGCAGGAACCACAGCTTGCAGACGGCTTCATATGCACCTGAACTACGCGAACTCCTCCTGGCCTGGAGCCCAGAGGATGGGATGTAGCCAGCCCCAGCGGACCTGTTCCGAGGCCGAAGGGAAGTCCTCCAGGCCCGACGACTGAACCGTGCCAACACAAGCAACGAGCACATACACATAAGCATTTGCACCAAGTTTTCTGCGCAATGGTATGGACCTCCCCCAGGACTCATGGTCGCTTAGCAGGGCAAGGGCAATGCCGCGCTTTACACGGGTGCGAAAGCACACACTGGGATTACCAGTTGGACGCACTGAGATGAGATGACATCACAGAAAGCCGCCGCACCTGTATTGCCTGCTGCACCTCTTCTATTCGCTCGGACAGCTGCGCGAGAGCGGAATGCCCGATTTCCAGCAGCTCGTCGTGCTGCCAGCGGGCGCGCTGCATGTCCGCCAGGCGGCGCCTGCTGGCGGCGTATTGCTCTGGAGCGGGGTTCCATTACGGCGTGGGAGGGGGACACGCAGAACCAAATTATCAGATGCATGGACACAGAGCGCCAGGTGCCCTACCCAGTGCAAAGCCGGACACTCAGCGCCTATGCCCAAGGCTTGCAAGCACCGTCCTATTAGCCATTACATTTGGCCGCACGAGATTTTAAACGAGTTTAGCAGGAACCTTACTAAACCATACTTTCCCGCAGGGGCGTTTAGGGCGTCCTCGTTGGCTACCTGTTGGCTGCACCCAGGACAATCCAGGGGAATCCATCCAGGCATGGTCCACATGGCAAGCCAGGTCAAATCCCTCAAGGAAGCCATCCCACTTAGCACTTACGCATCAAACCGGTCGTGCTGTCGTTGAGCCGGCGTTCCGTGGTTTCGATCCTTTCCAGGTCCCTCGACACCGCCGCGCCCAGGCGGCCGAGGGACGCGTTCGTGTCCGGCGTTGCCGCCACCAGCGCCGCCAGCAGCTCTTTGGTCTGATGCCACCGCTGCGACCAATCCCCCGCCGCCGCAGCCGCGGAGATCTTTATTCGCCCCAGCTGCGGGGCCAACCGCTCCAGCTCCTGCCGCCAAGCCACCGGATCCACCCGCGTGGTCTGGACCGCCTGAACCCCTCGCCGGCGCTGGTCGCGCTCGCCGCTGCGCCCTGCAACGCCGCCCCCACTCGTACTTGCCACCCCAAGAGCCAAAGAGTCCCTCGCCCGGTCCGTCGCCGCAGTCGCGCCCATGTACTCTGCCTCCTCGCCATCCCCATCGGTGTCGTAGCCAGGCCCCGTTCCGGGAGTGCCCGCCGTCAGCACCGACTCCGCCGCGCCCTCCAGCCCGCCGTCGGCCTCGTCCGGCACCTCTTCCGCTGGCGGCTCTGGCGGCCGCTGCATTGGCCGCACCGCCAACGGGACCCGCTGCACACTCAGAGCCAGGGCATCCTGCAGCAGCCCACACACAGCCCGGCCGTGCCCCAGGGCGATGGCGCTAACAGGCGCGAACTCCGTATTAAGACCCATGACCTGCGCGCCACGCTTGGCCGCCTCCGCGCCCTTGAGCACGTTAATGCAAAGCGCGACCTGGCGGGAGGCCGGCGCCAGTGCGGCGGCGGTGCCACCAGCGCGACCCGCTGTGGGAGCGCGCGCCGAAGGAACAAATTCAAGTTGTGCCTCGACTCCGCCTGCGGCATCGGACTTGCCATTGAGCCGCAGCAGCCACGCTAGCACGTGCAGGAAAGCACCTAGCTGCTGCTTCTGGAACGCGCCGGCATCGGAACGTAGCGGCGGCACGAGGGGCTCTGCGAAGTAGAGAGGGTGGAGGCTGCGGATAGTGTCCATCGGCGGCGGTACCATGATGCCGGAGGTGGCGGCTGGACCTCCGGTGGCGCTAGTCCCGCCTGCTGAAGAGGAAGAGGCGCGCCTGCCGTTGGGCGGCGTAGTGGGCGGCGCTTTGCCGCGCAGGCGTGCCGTCACCTCGGAGGACAGCAGTACGAGCTGCTCGTACAGCTCCGCGGCGGTGCTGTGCACGTCGGAGCGGGTGCGTGACTGCGACTGCACCGCCGAGCTCGTGATGTTCCAGACCTGCGCTGGCGAGGTGGCAGCGGCAGCGGCAGCTGCAGTGAAAACGCGGCCTGGATACAACTCCCAAACACAAATGGTAATTGCAAAGGTCAGGGCCCCGCACGTGAAGAGAAACCCGCAAACACACGTGTCCGAAGCCTGAATGGTTCAGAGGGCTGCATGCATCCCCGCAGGCTCCACCGTTGTACCGGCAAGTACAACCAGAGGCACAAAATCCCTCAAAACCTCACCGAGCCGCACCAAAGCCCGAATCCTGCTAGAACATGTAAGGCACTTCCCGCCGCAGCACACATAGTTTTCTTGTCCTGCCTCGCCCCAAGCGGACAAAACCCCGGCCGAGCGCACCTCCTCCAGCTCCGGCCGCTTGGCGGGATCTATCTGCAACATGCGCCCCACCAGGCTGCGCAGCGGCGCCGAAAACTGCTCGGCGGGAAGCGGGCTGTACTCTCCCTTGGAGATCTTCTGAAACACGTCGTACAGGTTAGCGCCCTCCATCTCAAACGGCGACCGCAGGCACGCCAGCTCATACAGCAGGCAGCCCATGGACCAAACGTCGCTTTTCCAGTCGTATCCCGCGCCGCGCACCACCTCGGGCGACACGTAATAGGGCGTGCCCACCTGCGAGGACCCCCGAAATCCTCCGGTAAGTGGTGATAGTTGATTAAGGCAACTGCATGCATACCTGCAGACAACTCTTTTTTTCTTTAAGACATACCACGCGGTCAGGAACGGGGGCACCCGTTAGGAAAGGGAGGATTGCTCCATGCAGCCTGCTGGCCCCCAGACACGGATTTCTTGTACCGCCTTATTCCCACCCGACAGAACCATACGCACAGCTAACCACCCTCAAGGCCTGCAGCGCCCTAAACTGGAACGCCCCATTACAGCCAGACGGACCGAGTGGAGAAAGCAAACTCGCAAGCCCATGTCATAGGACCCTAGGAAACCCCGACCCCGGAACCCCGAACTCAACTAGGACACTTCGCCCCTCATGCCTCCCGCACACCTTTGAAAAGGCCTCCATGGTCTGTTCGCTGAGCTGTCTGCCCAGGCCCAGATCGCCCAGTTTGAGTGCGCCGTTGGCGCCCACGAGCACATTGGCAGGCTTGATGTCCCGGTGCATGATTCGGTGCTGGTGCATGTAGCGAAGCCCGTCAGTCACCTGCAGCAGGCGTGCAGCAGGCACCGGGGGGTGCAGCGCAGCAGAGGACATAAGGGATACGGCGGCACCTCAGGCCGTCGAGGGACGCCAGCGGACCCTAGCCGCAAAAGGGATCGGAGGTCGAGCCGCGCGGTAGCGCACGGGACGATGCGTCCGGAGGGGCCACCATGCGAGACGCGGCGAGTCGCCTTCCCGCCTGGCTAAGCCTGATGAGACAAGAGGCCCGAGACTCGACATGGGGGCTATACCCGCGGTCGCCCGACCCCTCTTCCTCTGAGGGAGGACATCAGCGCAAATGGCCGGCCCCACCCGTGCTGTACGTCCAGCTGGCAGGCTAGGCGGCAGCTGCCCGCACGTCCTACCTGATAGAACAGCGTCCAGATGGATGGCTCGTCCAGCTTCTTGCCCTGCTCTGCTGTCTTCTTAATGAGGCGCTTCAGGTCGCCTGCACCGCAGTGGGACGGGGCGCATCCCAAGCGGATGGTCCGAATATGTCTGGTTTATACGTGAAATGGTACGGCAGGGCCTTCCGAACACCCCAAGCCACGCAGCTTAAGAAATGGCCAGCGACCTTTTTAATGGCATGCGCAATCGTATTAATGCCTTAGCAATGTTCAAAGCTCCCGTGCTGCTTAGCACAGTAACCGCTCGACATAACGACAACGATTGCCTTCCCATCTGGCCCGTGCCGCATCCACGCCTCAGTTAGCCAGCCATGCTAACAGGGTTAGCATGACCTCGGCACCCACAGGACCTCCGCTGCTCGCAAGATGCTCCAACCTCGCTGTCAGCGGCCGTCCGAGTGCCTAGGTACGCCCCTCCCTTCCTTTCCGGGCCAAAACATCTGCACCCAGCAAGGCCCCCACTCCGCCAGTCTTTCTGGTTGCAAACCCACCCGCCGGGGCCCATTCGAAGATGATGATGAGCATATTCTCATCAATAAAAGCGTCCAACATCTGGATGATGTTGGGGTGGTCCAGCTGCTGCAGGAGCGTCACCTCCTGGAGACACCTCTCGCGCTTCTTGGCGCTCATCTCAAAAATCTGCGGAACCAGCCGGCAATCCCCGCGGGGGTGGCACAGGCACAGCACCGCGAATGGACGGGGAAATTTGACGGGGAAAGGAAGGGAAAGACGCCCAGTGTCGGTGCATGGGTTGGTGAGACAGGAGATGTAAGCCCAAGGGATGTACTTCGGAGAGAGGGGCAGAGGAGCAGCTGTCCATACCCATGTAGCACAAGAGCCCTAGCCACGTCTCCCAGGTCTGAGCTCTGCATCACAGCATGCAAGGGTGCTGCACGCTTTCCCTAATTGGGGCGTTGGACACACATGGCTTTTGCACCATGCGCGAGATGGAGATGCATTCTGCCCAAAGCTATCGCATGATGAGACATCATCTGGCCTCTCCTAAGTTTGCAGATTCCGGACGCCAAGAGCGTAGGCATACTTGGGTGATATGTCTTAGGCCATGGGTGCGTGGCAGTGAAACAGCATCTCAAGGAAGCGGCTTCCTTTCAGACAGGATCCGGGTCGCTGTTTGCGTGAAGCTCGTTTGCTGTTGCCCTCTCAAGGTCAGTTCCCACAGGCTGAGGTTCAGGTCCTGAGCCGAGCGGTGTTCACCTTCTAAACGAGCAGAACTAACCCCTGACACTCAGCTGGACTCAGATAGGTGTGCAGTGGCATGGCGCTGCACCAAGGGGGCCAAGGATGCACCGGAGGGTCGACGCATCTTGTGACCCAGGCCTGCTCACCCACCTCGACCTTCTTCACCGCAACCACGCGACCATCCTCCCGCCGGATGCCCTTGTAGACCACAGCATATCCGCCCTTCCCCACAGGCTTCTGTACATCATACGCGTCCGCAAGTCGGCCGGGGCACGACGGGACGGCTGAGAGCCCCTCGCCGTCGCCGCGCGTCCCCGGCTCCCGCGAGACAGGTCGCGAGCCGCCCTTGGACGACTGTTGTCGCACCAGCGGCGGAGATATTGGACCGACCGCGGCGGGCTGTCCTTCGCTCGGCGGGCGGGACATGGACTCGCGCACATGCCACAGCACTAGCGCAGGGCCGAGGCCTGTAAGCCTCAGGCCCGCGGTTTTCCTAAATCATTTTTACAATGTATATAACAGACTCCTGGCGGCATTGAAGGGGATTTAGCGCCCGGAGGTCTCGTTGTTGGTCAACTATATTCTAAAAGTTGGGGCAAAGATCGTGATACTTTTAACAGAATTTATACGTGTAGTGCTCTTTGGAGGATGCTTACTTGCACACTAGACTTTCCATAGAGAGAAACCTTTGCCGCGGCAGCAAGTACGACGTACTCTAGTTGGCCTGTGGATTGTTGAAGCATCATATGCTCTCCAACGTTCCATAATAACATCTTGACAAATATCACGATATGAATTTTCTGCAGCGAGGGCGGGCGCCCCTCATTACAAGATGTCCCTTGCAGCGTTGTGGCCGGCGTGCGTGCTTGACAGCGCGCAGGTGCCAACTAATCCAGAATGCATATACCGAGATAAAGACGAACACTAGCGATCATAGCGATCCCGTGGAGCAGCTTGGGAGGTTGAAGCCTGTCGACTGGGGCGAGGAGCTGTACTGGGACTGGGATTACAACTCACAGATATGCTATCGACAAGTTGGCGAGGTGAATTCGTATGGAAGCGATGGGGTTGCGTGGGAGTTGGGTGTAGTTTCCAAAAGCAGATAACGTAGTCTTGGTCCGCCCGCTACACGGTAACACCTCTGTGAGCGTGCCAAACCCTGCAGCAAGTACCACCTCCGGCCAATCCTGCGTGTATCAGCGCCCCATCCTGGCCAAGTGTTTCATTGCTTTATGATTCGCGCTTGTACAGACACCATGGGACGGATACCTCAACACTCCTATTTGCATATGCAGTTGCCTGTCGTGCCATTTGGGCCCCTAAGCAGACGGTTGACGCAAGAACTGATATGGTTTAAAACTATGAGTTTGGGATTCCGATTATCACAGTCGTGACATCGGACTTGGCCACCAAAGCACCTTCTCGTACCCTCTTGTTACCCAGGTCCTACCTGCAAATGAAATGAGCCAGGCCCCCGGCTCATGGACGGTCTCTTGAAAGCTTTTAGCGCTGCACAAATCGTATCCATACCCGTGCCCTCGTCCGTACCCGTCCCCCTGCCATTGCCCCTACACCCAGTCGGGTCCGGCCATCCTGATGGTGCATGGCTTTGGTGTGGCCGGGTGGCACTTCCATCGCAACTGGGAGGACCTGCGGCGGGATCACCGGGTGTGGGCGGTGGACCTGCTGGGCCAAGGTGAGGCAGAGCGGAGGGCATTACGACCCGTCGGTCGTCACGGTCGGAGACCCGTCAAATCGATTTGTTAAGGCCTGTGAGACCTCCTAGAGATGATCTGGCATGAGGATAAAGGGTTAACCTCGCCTCCTTGGTGAAGGAATACGCACGAGGTTTGAGGTAGTGCTGGCCCGCAGAAATTGAACATGACAGCGCTGCGGGCGCTGCCACCGCAAGCGGCCATAGCCGCTATTCCATCCTACACGAGCATTGCACACGCAGCATGCAACGGCCATCAAGGCCACAAGGCTTTTGGGAACTGAGGACCCCGGGATCCGGCACCGCTGTTCCACGTGCAGGTCGCAGCTGGCCGCGGCATCCCGTGCCTACCTCCGCGGGGTTATATTACAGCGTGGACACATGGACCCGCCAATTGGAGGACTTCCTGGAGCAGTGCGTGGGAGAGCCGGTCTACGTGGCGGGCAACTCGCTGGGAGGGTGAGAGGGCGGCGCAGATGTGGAGGCAGGGCTCCGCGGCCGCCCTATGGGGGCTATGGCCAAAGGAAGACAGGATGGGGATGAGCTGCGGGGTGGGGCCCCTAGGTACTGGGCAAATCGGGGCCGGGCCGAGAGATGGCCCACTCAGATGGCAGATGTGTACAATCTCTTCCGAAAAGCCATGATGCCGATGCGAGTCCCCTCCTGGAGATGCTTTAGAGACACTTACGAGTCTAGGTTTGAAGGCATGGTGGCCTGAATCCCTTTATCACGGTGCGATCTGACATGGCGGCCTGACGCGGCTCGCAGGGGCCCGTTACGTCTTTGGAGGGTAAAGCAACTCCATGTATTATACACACATACACATCCGAGGCGGCTCATGCTGTTCGTCATCTCAACCATCTTGGGTTGTGCAGGTACCTTGCAGTGATGCTGGCGGCGCGGCGACCGGACCTTGTCCGTGGGCTTGTGCTGCTGAATGCCACCCCTTTTTGGGCTTTCCGCCCCCCTCGGGGCTCGGCTGCAGCTCGGGGGCCCATCTGGTCAGCGCTTGCGGACGGCTCCGTTCCCGTACCAGAGGTAGGAAGTTCGACGAGCGGACGTCGCAGGACGCAATCCGTGTTAGCATATGATTTTGCACGATACGCGCATGGGCACACTTATGGGGGCCGCAAATGCCTGTTCTAAACAGCCCTGTTCTGCAACCCAGTTCCCTTTCCCTACTGGTAAACCATGAGCCGTGGTCACCTCCATGCAGTCATTGAAGCGGGTCATCGAACGTTACTGGTGGGACAAGCTGCGTGCGCCCACCACCATCTCCGCCATGTTGCGGCTGGTGTACGCGGACAAGTCGGGGCCCGACCCACCCTTGGTGGCGCGCATTGTGGAGGCGACGGAGCACCCCGGTGCACTCGACGCATTCACGTCCATAGTCCTGAGCCCCAAAGCCGAGCTCAGCTTCGACGAGCTGGTGGACCGTCTGCACTGCCCCGTGCTGCTGCTATATGGCAAGGAGGACCCATGGGTCAGGCCGCTTTGGGGCCAGCGCCTGAAGCGCCGCCTGCCGACGGCAACGTACCTAGAGCTTAGCCCTGCGGGCCACTGCCCACACCATGAGGCACCGGCGGCGGTGAATAAGGCGCTGCGGGCCTGGGTGGCGGCGCAGGAGCGCGCGAGGACGCAAGGGGTGGCTGAAGAGGGGCCGACGGGGACTGGGATCGGCTTGGCGGTGGAGGAGAGCTGGGAGGTGGTGGAGGCGGACGGGCGTGTGGTGCGGGTTAGCCATATCGACGGTCGGCCGCGGGGGGTGATGGAATGGCTGGATTTGGCGGTGTGGAGCGTGCTGGGCCGCGCGCTGGGGGCGGTGGGTGGGAAGGGGGCAGACAAGGCGGGGTCGGGGACAGCGGCGTGAGGGGACGTGTGCGGCTATACACTGACTCGTTTGATTGACACACATGTTGAATACCGGTAGGGAGTGGGGTTCGCCGTAACACGAGATGGTGTTTTTGTGAGCAGGTTTCAGTGCGAAGATGACGTCGCTGCGTCGCTTGTATCATCGGAGGGGTCTTTTCGTTCTAGCCTAGACATCTTAGTGCTTCAAGCCAAATTCGTACCGCAGGTCTGAGCTTGGGCTACCAGGTTTCACCGGGCCCTGATGGCGCTTACTAGACGTACAGGACAGGTAGCCGGCTTTTATTTATCTGCGCAAAATTTTCTATACCCAAGCCACGGCTCTTTACATTGCACGTATACGTTGCATCCGTTGTGATAAGTTCGCTGGTTGTGCATCGTTCGGTGTTGTGGCAGGTTTCATTTAAACATGGTCACTTCGATGCGTGAGAAGTTCACGCAATCAGTATATTTCAATCAGCCCGGGGAAAACCCCGGCCAATTTCGTTCGAATATCTTGGTGTGCTGCGCTTGCGAAGCGCGTTTTTGTTCGTACGGCGCCTAGGGATTGAAGAGTATGTACGACGAATATGGTCGAGCGCTCACGGGGGGCATATAATGCTGATCCTAGTTTGGTTTTGTTCACGTTGTTTGCTATCTTGCTTGTTCCTGGTTGAATTTCGGTCTCATTGAACTAAGGCTAGGGCGCTGCCTTCAGGGGTCACACGATGGCGAGGATGGGCTAGGAATGCAGCAGCTTGCCAAATCAAGCTTTCTAGGTGATCCCAAGCAATGTCAGAAAGGCATTGCACCATGTATGCCCAGCAGGCTCGCTCCTGCGCAATGTTGTTGGTCATGAATATCGATATGGCGGGTCCCTTCGACGAAGGGCCTCTCTACAGGGAGTTGAGAAGTCTGCAGCCATGGAGGCATGCGTACCGTGTAAAAATCTCGTACCTGGGCTGCGAGAGCTGTCACGATAGAGTTCCGGAAGCGGTTGTAGGAGAGAAAGTACAGTGAACTAAGTCTGCTTTGGTCTAGGTTCCGCAGCCTCATGCCGGCTTCCGTCCCGCAACATCTTGGGATTCACGGCTGGAAAGAGTGCACCTTATTACGTGGCACGAATGTGGCACCACTTTTAGGTCAAGTATCGAACCTCCCACCGTCCCCTGCGCTGATAAAACACGTGGGTCGTTGCATAAATCAACATATGACAATATAAGCGACAATATAAGCACATCAGATCTCAACCACTGTGACTCCTATAACCTGCAGCGAGTTTCAGCGGGTTTCAGCGTGAACCGTGGGTCGCTCGCGAATCTTGTCTCTAACGCAAAGCACGGATATTGTGTTTTCAATATGCGTGCGTCAATTGGCATGCGTGCATCCTACCGCAAATGCGTGCTGAAGTGTGAATACTCACGTGCAAAGGGTTTGACATATCCTTCTGCAGGACATATCATGAATAATTATGTTCATGTCAACGAAAATCGCATTATGTGCGACTTTGGGGGCAAGCACGTAATCCCGTTTGCCGTTGATAGGACTTCGGTTTAGGCAGGGTAGGGCTTTTCACGTATCTGCATTTCAACTGAAACACATCCCGATGGCTTTGTACATAACTGTGTTGATACATTTTTCACAATTAAGCTGACCGAGACCATTTACATTATTGTGATCTTTCACTCTAGTCAATCAGCCGCCACTCGTGACCACAATGCTCGCTCAAGCAGTGGGTAGGCTTGGCCTTGGGTTAGGTGCACATTCGCTCCCAGCAGTGGGCAACTCGCTACGTCGATTCTGTACTGATGGCGTTGACGACCTCAAGAAAACGCTATCGGAGCTGATCCCCGAGCAGCAGGTGCCGTTCGCCCTCCCAAGTGGCGCCTGGCCGTCACAGTTGAGTAATGCCTAAGACCTTCAATTGCAGGAGAGATTGAAGGCGCTGAAGAAGAGCCATGGCAGCAAATCACTTGGGGAGGTTACGGTGGACATGGCCATCGGTGGTATGCGGGGAATTCCGGTGAGCTACCCTGAAAGTAATCGGTATATTATTACAAAACCAAAGCAATTGAGCTGCGTTGGAGTCTGGAGCGTTCACTAAAGTATGTTGCGTTCGGAATTCTTGCGCACGCGCTTGAAACCGCGTATCGTCACGTAGGGAATGCTCTGGGAAACGTCGTTGCTAGACCCCGAGGAGGGCATCCGCTTCCGTGGCCTCAGCATCCCGGAGCTACAGGTGTGGACCTGGCTGGGGGTATAGCACCTTCCCTTGGCCGAGCCTTCTGGGGAGGTCAGGTTTTGGGGAGGCGCCAAGAATTTGCGATGTGGGAATCGGAAAACCCACTGCTTAAGGGGCAAAGACAACTACCTGCACAGAGCGCGGCCGTTTCGGTTGCGACCTTCAAGCTAACGCGATGCCTTGGCCCGTTCGTGTCCTGAACCGCAGGCTCAGCTCCCCGCGGCGATTCCTGGAGGCCAGCCTATTCCTGAGGGCTTGCTCTGGCTGCTGCTCACCGGAAAGGTACCGCATAAAAGCCTGCCCTAGCTAATCTGTCTCCTGATCAGCCACGAGGACTGCAGTTCGACGAGCCGCTGTTGCTCGACAAACAGATAGTCCTCTGCTGCCAGCTCAGCACCCTATTCACGGCGTAACGGGTATAGGCGCCTGTCTTTGCTTGGTTTCCCTTTTGCAACCATGCCGCCATTTGGGTCGGGGCTGTAACGGCATAACGTCCACTCCCGGCGCACACTGCAGGAACCCGTGCCATGATACCCTCGCCTGCGCTCGTGCGCTGCCATTCATCCTCACCCGTGTAGGTGCCCACCAAGGAGCAGGCGGCCTCCGTGACTGAGGAACTGCGCGAGCGCTCGCACCTGGGCCCGCATGTGCTCAAGGTGCTCAACGCGCTGCCGGATGACGCGCACCCCATGACGCAGCTGTCGGTGGGCGTCATGGCCTTGCAGGTGGGTGAGAGGGTAGGGGAAGGGGCAGGGCTACACCATGACGTGCATTACGAAGTGCAGGACCCAGGTGGTAGCCTCAGGGGTGGTGGTGGGGATTTTTGGCTCAACACGCACCGGTCTCTTGGGACAATCGGGTTGGTCTTGAAAGTGCACCAGGATAGTGGGGCATGGTGCGGATGGGAAATAAGGCAGTCGGTACCAGATCACGGAAGGCTCTGGCCAGATTTACGGTACCCCCTACCTTTCGGAAAATCAGTAGGCTGGAGCCCGCGCTTTGGAAGCAATTCCCCTCCTCCGCATTGCCCGCAGTCCGGCAGCCACTTCGCTGCCGCCTACACTCGCGGCACTCACAAGAGCAAGTACTGGGAGACTGTGTACGAGGACAGCATGGACCTTATCGCCAAACTGCCCCAGCTGGCGGCCATCATCTACCGCCGAACTTACAAGGACGGGTCGCAGATCCAACCCCACCACACGCTGGACTGGGCCGCTAACCTTGCTTACATGATGGGTGAGTAGGTGGCTGGGGTAATGATGCATGGGTAAGTGGAGCTGGTCATGACAGCTTGGGAGGCCAGAAGAGAGAGGAAAGTTTTAATGCGGCTTGGATGGCTGCGAAGGATTGGCGTCAATGGGGTGGCGTCAAGCGTGAGGTAGTAATACAGCATCCACGGCAGTTTCCCATGGCGTGTTGCGAACATCGCAGCAGGGGCTGGCGGGTTACACAGGTTGGGATTCCTTCCTCTTTTTCATAGCCCTTCGGCCCCCAGCGCCTTGCCCATCTTCCTCCTCCCCCTTCCCCTCCTCGTCCTCCTCCTCCTCCTGCATGTTAGGCTACGAGGACGTGGGCTGCCACGAGATGATGCGCATGTACCAGACCATACATAGCGACCACGAGGTGGGGGGGGCGGGGTGAGGTGGGCTGGGGAGGGGAGGGGAGAGAGGGAAGAATAAAGGGGGGGTGCTTGAAGGCTTCATTTTAGGTGGGACTATTGCCCTATCATGCTGCCTGCTGCCAGTACGTATGTTGCACCGCAAACATGCAGTCCCATGTAAACGCGAGCAAGCTATTCCTGGTAGGCGATTACCGTGATTACAGTGGGCGCGACACCACCGCTTTGCGCCTATGACAGATACTCCCGTACATAAGGAGTTAAACTAGACTGAGAAGCCTCGCGGACATGGGGGGGTTGGTTGGCAGTAGGCCGCAGACAGAGGGATAAGCATCGTGTACCCTGAACACAAAACGCGCCGTGTGCAGCTCTGAACAACATCACCCATTACGGCATGCTAAGCTGCATTCGCATCTAATGCCCTGCAGTTAGCCTCGTTTTTATTAAATAGGTCGACTGAGCTTCCCTCGTCATGTAGGGGGGAAGAGATGGGCCCTAAGCTGCTGTATTACCCAACAAGGGACAGAACCGCGGTCCTTTGACGGCAAGTCTTATTCCTGCCGGCGCCCTGTGTTTTTCCCTTCTCCCTAATACTCTTGAAGCCCCCGCCTGTTAACCTTCGCCCCTCCTTTTCCTCCCTCATGTTTTTGCCCCTCAGGGCGGTAACGTGTCCGCCCACACCACCCACCTGGTGGGCAGCGCGCTGTCTGATCCGTACCTGTCGTTCGCCGCCGGCATGAACGGCCTGGCGGGGCCGCTGCATGGCCTGGCCAACCAGGAGGTGCTCCGCTGGCTCAAGAACCTCACGGCCAAGCTGGGTCCGCACCCGGAGAAGGAGGCGGTCCGCAAGTACGTCGAGGAAACATTGGCATCCGGCAAGGTCGTACCAGGGTACGGCCATGCCGTACTGAGGAAGACGGACCCGCGGTACACATGCCAGGTGGGGATGGGGTGGGTACCGGGTTTGATGCCTCCCCAAGGAGCTTCGTAGGGCTAAGGGTAACAAGCCTGGAACGTAACTCGTGTAGCTGCTTTTCATGCTCGATTAGATGTTCTGCTCGTGCGCACTTGCCCTCTGCTGTGTTTGGGTTCCCCCCAGGCGGGGGCCCCCGGCCTTGCTGGGCTGGTCATTTCATTCTCTCCCCCTTCCCCTCCCACTCCGCTCGTTCCGCCAGCGTGAGTTTGCTCAGCGCTACATGCCCGAGTACCCGATGTTCAAGTTGGTGTCGGACTTGTACGAGGTGGTGCCTGAGGTGCTGGGCAAGACGGGGAAGGTGAGTGGGGAGGGGCAGGCAGTGGGGAGGCGGGCAGCCGGGCAGGTGGCTGTGCGGCTTCAGAACCATATACATATGTATACCGTTGCCCCTCCTGCAGATCAAGAACCCCTGGCCGAACGTGGACGCCCACAGCGGCGTACTGCTGCAGTACTACGGCATTACGGAGGAGAACTTCTACACGGTGCTGTTCGGAGTGTCGCGCGCGCTGGGGGTGCTGGCGCAGGTGGGGGCGACGGGGGGGGGAGGCCGAGGATAAAGCGGAGGGCAGGAGAGAGGCGAGGGAAGGGAAGGGTAGGGGCGAGGGTAGCAGCGCTCATTGCGAACGGATGGGGGTGGGGTTAGCACGTACGTATAGGCATGCAAGCATGTAGAGAGGGGCGGGGTGGAGCCAGCAAAACATTTTCCTAATAATGAGGCCCCGCTCTCCTCGCCGTCGTCCCGTTGTCAAGTCCCTTTCCTCCTGCGGTCATCTCTCTCCCCCGACAGGGTATCTGGTCCCGAGCTCTGGGTCTCCCCATCGAGCGGCCAAAGTCGATGACCATGGGCGTTCTAGAGAAGCGGTTCTCAGCCGCGCCAAGCTCCCAGTAAAGACTGTCTCAACTCGAATACCTGTAACTTGTGTCTCGAAGAGAAAGAAGGGTGGTCCTAGACAACCTAAGTCCCGCCATGTTCTAAAAACACTAGGTGATGCCATCGGGCACTTGCGCACGTGCCGCGAGAGAGTGCTGCTTGGCCTGACGTGATGCAGCATAGCATGCATCTTCGTAAGTAAGGCCCATAAACTGGGCCCTGTGTGGGGCCATTATTTGTCATGAGGGCAGGAGTGACCTCCGGAGAAAATTTTATGTGGGGGACGTTTCGATGGGAGCGCACAACGCTCCGGGGTTACCTTGTCCACCTGGCGGGAGTTGCTCAACGGTCTATTTTTTACGGCACCGGAATTGCTGTTCCTTCCTAAGCGGCACTGCGACTTGAGGTGTGTCGCGGATTGTGCTGTCGACTCTGCGGGCGGGCGTTTAAAGTTCGAGTTGGGTGGTGTGTGCGTGCGTGCCTGCCGTGCCGTGTGCGGCGCACGAAACTGGCAACGCTGGGGTTTCAGTATTCCCTCGCCGCGCCTTACCTAAGTGAGGGAGGGGATGTGTGTGTATGCGCTGGCGGCTTCCGTGGGTTGATTGAAGGTTGGGCAGTGGGACTCGTGCGACCACCCCTATAGGAGCGTGCGATGGTGAAATGATGTGAAGTAGGGTGACGTGCGGCAGATGCACTTTCGTGATGCGCTCTGATATGGTGCGGTGCGTTGCGATGTCGCCCTTGAACTTTGGCGGTGTTTCGTGACGTCTCCTTGCATTCGGAGGCAGGTGGTGGAAAAGGACGGGTTTAGAAACAGGTCTGTAGGACCCGGAAGCTCAAGCTATAGCTCTTTCAAGTGCATGGAGTCATGCCGCGAGCTCTCGCTGCTAGGGCGGGGCAGCTGCAAGGGGCAGGACTGGACACGTAGCGGTCATCGCGCACCTGAGTACGACAATTGCATTGCAAAGGACACAAGTTTGGACATCAACCAGTCAGCCAATTGTGTGAAACAGGGGTGTGTATCTTCGCTCTTCGCCCGTGGCAGCTACCCTGCGAAACCATGCCTTCCCCGGTATTTCGGGGCACCCTCATCCAGTCACCCTAGTCAACTTCTCAGTGGATCGCTCATGTTCCGCACCCACCACCAGCATCCAATGGGATCTGCCGGGTCGACAGCGGCCCAACTTCATTCCTGGTCGGCTCGCAGGTTAACTTTATCCCAGGTCGCCACCGTCCATCACATAGGCGCGCATCGCCTACCACCATCGGAAGGACTTTAGACCCTAATGGGTATCGATCCCAGGATCTCCCGGGAACAATGGTCGCGTCTTACCAGTAGTGCCAAACCCTAGTATTTCCATGTATGTCTGCTATCGACACAACTTCAAAGAACGGAGCCGGGCGCTGGGGGATTGGTCAGCAGGGCCTTGTGGAGCATAGGCCCTGCACTTCATGGCGCCCCGCATTGCCTTTTGCCTAAGGGGGATGGAATGCTGGGTGCGCGCGCTCGCGTTTAGGGTGATGAAACGCACGCAGCCATTATGCTACCTTGCGTGTGGAGAATTTTAATATGCACCGTGACACCCCAGACCGCACGTGTTGCTTGCACCCCGTAGGGGCCTATGCTTCCTCCTCCTTCCTGCGAGTGACCCATGGGACGAAATGGCACCCTTCGACAGAAAAGGACATTTCAATCCAGATGACGGTTTCACCCGGTCCTCTAGCAAGCTAGGCCACCTACAGATAAGCACGTCACTTGCACCTTTCAAGGAAACACGTGCTCGTAAGCTGAGCTGTCCTGTCTACGCATATGGAGCGTGGTCCACAGTCCAAGGGCCCCGCTCCCTCAGCTGCATATACGTTGAAACTCTGATGTGCGGCGCGCAACGGAAAGAGCGTCATGAAAGACGATCTGTAGACGTCCACCTAAGGCCTTCCCGCAGTGGCACAACTTTACTGTGAAAGCTACCGCAAGGAAGGGATCGGCTGCAAAGTAGTGCCCTGTGCAGTATCGCGCGCGAATCCTTGTGCACATCAGCAGCTGTGTCTCCTTCGTCGCCTTGGCCCAAGCCATGTTCGCGCAGGGAGGCTGCAGGCTGGGACTTCTGGTACTGGGAGAAGCGAAAATCCTGACTGCAGCAACAGCAGCAGCAGGTTGCGGCTCGCTTCGGAGGCTGCTTTGCACCGAAACCAGAGACCTGAAGCGCACCCTGGCGGAGCTTATTCCAGGCCAACAGGTTCGGCAATCTTTATCAGGCGTTCTGCCTTCAGGATCTAGAAAGAAAAGTAAAAAGCTGAACGACGTCGCGGATAGGCGGAATGCGCCCAGCCCTTCACGCGCTGACGGAACCAACGCTCCCATTACTGCGATCGCTCTTACTACTGCTCTTATCCGGGCAATCCGGCCACGTGGGACGCCCCGCAGGAGCGCCTCAGAAGTCTCAAGAGGGACCACGGCAGCGAGCCCCTGAAGGAGGTGACGGTCGATATGGTCATCGGCGGCATGCGGGGGCTCCCGGTGGGTGGGCGGTAGTGGGCGGTAGTGGGTGACACACCGGAATGAAGAGCCCTTCTTTCTCGTTCGGCTCGTACGGCGCGAGCCGAGCCCCCCAATCGGCCCGCATCTAAGTCTGCCAGGGACTCGACTAGAGAGAGGTGTGGTGCAAGGCATGTGAACAAAGGATTAAGAGCTGCCACTCCGGTTAGTGGATTGCAAGTAACGGCATGTAAAGCAGCCTGAGGGTCAGTCCTTTCATTGGGAGGGGGGCGACATGGCGGGTGGCCAGGGGGGTGCCCGTAATGCGACACTTCTGTGACCCACTGCCGAACCGCTCGAGGATGCTCTGGTCAGCTCTCATGCTTTCACTTGGCAGGGCGTGCCGCTGTGTTATCGCATCACGAACACAATCCGGAAGAACGGGTACAGGGAAATCCCTTTCGAGGTTAAGGCCAAAGGGGTAGGCCGTACGACACGGTTTATAAGTCGTACGCCGTACTACGATGCAGGCAATGCTCTGGGAAACGTCGTTGCTAGACCCCGAGGAGGGCATCCGCTTCCGTGGCCTCAGCATCCCGGAGCTACAGGTGTGGACCTGGCTGGGGGTATAGCACCTTCCCTTGGCCGAGCCTTCTGGGGAGGTCAGGTTTTGGGGAGGCGCCAAGAATTTGCGATGTGGGTATAGCACCTTTCCGGGCGCTGAATGGGGTGTACCGCTGCGCCTTAGGGTTGGCGGTAGTGCCTGGTAGGCCTCTGGGACAGTGTGAGGAGGGGGGGGGTCGAACTGCGGTGGGCGAACTGCCTTGGGATGCGCGCTGGCTGCAGCAACTGCCGCAACTGCCGCAACTCCCTCAGGCCCCAGCCTACCCGTACCCACGTCACACGTGTCGGGTGGCGAATGACCCGGGGGATGTGGCCCCGGGGCCTAACCCCCCCAACTTACGAGGGACATCCTGCTACACAACTGAGCGGACGTGTGCCCTCACACACGCACACACACAGCCCCCTTCCCCCCGGCCCCCTACTGTCACAAACTCCTCTTGATGCGCCGCGCACCACATACTGCCCCACGCTGCGCACCGCCCCACCGCCCGACGTACACACACGCAGGCTCAGCTCCCCACCGTCGCGCCGGGTGGCCAGCCCCTTCCCGAGGGGCTGTTGTGGCTGCTGCTGACCGGGAAGGTGCCGAGTAGGGCTGAGGCGCTCTCCGTGAGTGAGGAGCTGCGGCACAGGGCCCACGTGCCGCCGCAGGTGCTGCGGGTGCTGGACGCGCTTCCCCCCGGCTCGCACCCCATGACGCAGCTGTCTGTGGGGGTCATGGCCTTGCAGGTGGGTCGGTGGGTCGGTGGGTCGGTGGGTCGGTGGGTCGGTGGGTCGGTGGGGAGGGGGGGAGGGGGGGAGGCGGGTGCGGGGACCTGGCGGGGCAGATCCGGGGTTGGGGAACCTGTACGGCAGTACGGGAAACCACGAGAAGAACCGATCTCCGGATCTTCTAAATGGAATTAACTGACATGACCTCATTAGCAGACAAGACGGGCGCGGCAATAGGATACATGAAAATGGTCACATGGCACATGCAGTCAGTCAGGTCGCGGACTGTGAGCGCGTTTTCCTGCCCCCCTTAACCCTCCCTTCCCCAGCCCTCCTCCGACCTCCTCCGCCTCCGCCCTCCTCCTCCCCCTCCTCCCCGTGCCTCAGTCCGGCAGCCACTTCTCCTCCGCCTACCGTCGCGGGGTGGCCAAGCGGCTCCACTGGGAGACTGTGTACGAGGACAGCATGGACCTTATCGCCAAACTGCCCCAACTGGCGGCCATCATCTACCGCCGAACTTACAAAGGCGGGCACTTCATCCCGCCCAGCCACAAACTGGACTGGGCAGCCAACCTGGCGCTGATGATGGGTAAGTAGGTGGGGGGTAGTAGCTGGATGGCGAGGACGGAAGTTTGGTCGCGTAGTTCAGTTGGTAAAGTTGGTTTGGCTGTTTTTTCCGGCTGGGTGTGGACCCCATGCTGGTTTCCTTGAGGCACCTCCCCGGGGGGGGGGGTCCCTATTTCCGCCGGCTTCCGCCGTTCCATTGCTCCAGCTGCTGGCCGCCTTCAGTTTCTCACCCTCCGCACAGCCTGGGTCCCCGCGCGCCCTTCATAAGGCTCCCTATTCCATAGCCCTTCGGCCCCCAGCGCCTTGCCCATCTTCCTCCTCCCCCTTCCCCTCCTCGTCCTCCTCCTCCTCCTGCATGTTAGGCTACGAGGACGTGGGCTGCCACGAGATGATGCGCATGTACCAGACCATACATAGCGACCACGAGGTGGGGGGGCGGGGTGAGGTGGGCTGGGGAGGGGAGGGGAGAGAGGGAAGAATAAAGGGGGGGTGCTTGAAGGCTTCATTTTAGGTGGGACTATTGCCCTATCATGCTGCCTGCTGCCAGTACGTATGTTGCACCGCAAACATGCAGTCCCATGTAAACGCGAGCAAGCTATTCCTGGTAGGCGATTACCGTGATTACAGTGGGCGCGACACCACCGCTTTGCGCCTATGACAGATACTCCCGTACATAAGGAGTTAAACTAGACTGAGAAGCCTCGCGGACATGGGGGGGTTGGTTGGCAGTAGGCCGCAGACAGAGGGATAAGCATCGTGTACCCTGAACACAAAACGCGCCGTGTGCAGCTCTGAACAACATCACCCATTACGGCATGCTAAGCTGCATTCGCATCTAATGCCCTGCAGTTAGCCTCGTTTTTATTAAATAGGTCGACTGAGCTTCCCTCGTCATGTAGGGGGGAAGAGATGGGCCCTAAGCTGCTGTATTACCCAACAAGGGACAGAACCGCGGTCCTTTGACGGCAAGTCTTATTCCTGCCGGCGCCCTGTGTTTTTCCCTTCTCCCTAATACTCTTGAAGCCCCCGCCTGTTAACCTTCGCCCCTCCTTTTCCTCCCTCATGTTTTTGCCCCTCAGGGCGGTAACGTGTCCGCCCACACCACCCACCTGGTGGGCAGCGCGCTGTCTGATCCGTACCTGTCGTTCGCCGCCGGCATGAACGGCCTGGCGGGGCCGCTGCATGGCCTGGCCAACCAGGAGGTGCTCCGCTGGCTCAAGAACCTCACGGCCAAGCTGGGTCCGCACCCGGAGAAGGAGGCGGTCCGCAAGTACGTCGAGGAAACATTGGCATCCGGCAAGGTCGTACCAGGGTACGGCCATGCCGTACTGAGGAAGACGGACCCGCGGTACACATGCCAGGTGGGGATGGGGTGGGTACCGGGTTTGATGCCTCCCCAAGGAGCTTCGTAGGGCTAAGGGTAACAAGCCTGGAACGTAACTCGATTAGATGTTCTGCTCGTGCGCACTTGCCCTCTGCTGTGTTTGGGTTCCCCCCAGGCGGGGGCCCCCGGCCTTGCTGGGCTGGTCATTTCATTCTCTCCCCCTTCCCCTCCCACTCCGCTCGTTCCGCCAGCGTGAGTTTGCTCAGCGCTACATGCCCGAGTACCCGATGTTCAAGTTGGTGTCGGACTTGTACGAGGTGGTGCCTGAGGTGCTGGGCAAGACGGGGAAGGTGAGTGGGGAGGGGCAGGCAGTGGGGAGGCGGGCAGCCGGGGGGGTGGCTGTGCGGCTTCAGAACCATATATATATGTATACCGTTGCCCCTCCTGCAGATCAAGAACCCCTGGCCGAACGTGGACGCCCACAGCGGCGTACTGCTGCAGTACTACGGCATTACGGAGGAGAACTTCTACACGGTGCTGTTCGGAGTGTCGCGCGCGCTGGGGGTGCTGGCGCAGGTGGGGGCGAGAAGGGGGGGGGAGGCCGAGGATAAAGCGGAGGGCAGGAGAGAGGCGAGGGAAGGGAAGGGTAGGGGCGAGGGTAGCAGCGCTCATTGCGAACGGATGGGGGTGGGGAGTGCGTGTGTCCTGGGGCGGTTAGGTCTGCTTGTGATGTCTTTCGAGGCGTGTGGCAATAGGCACGTCCTAGCAAGGCATCGCCTATGCCCGAAGCCTCCTTGCCAGAGGGTTACACAACATTCCCGGAGGCAATGTCCCCTGCCCGGCCCTGCCCTGCCCTGCCCTGCCCTGCCGGCTTCCCCCTGTCTCTGGTATCTGCTTCAATCGCCAGTGGTTCGTCTTACCCCTCCTCCCCTCCCGCGTGAAACCCCCCGCCGCGGTGCGGCCCCAGGGTATCTGGTCCCGGGCTCTGGGTCTCCCCATCGAGCGACCAAAGTCGATGACACTGTCCGCCCTGGAGAACCTTGTGATGCCGCACACCACCACAGCCACCACAGCCGCCACCACAGCCGCCACAGCCGCCACTTCAAGAGGGGAAGAGGCGGCGGCCTAAGGGGCCCCGGGAACACCCCGGATGGGGGGTATGAGGACGACTCATGCACCATCCGCATGTGGCTCTATCTGGGTTTGCGAGGGGACTTGTAACTTATGGGGGGGATCTGGGGGCCAGAGGCCCCCCAGCTCAGCCGCACAGCTAATACGTAACAAGCCACACAAACAAACCGGTACCTGAAAATCTGTTATTAGTTGGGAAGGAGGGACCTAAGGGCCCTCAACGAAAAAAACACTGCTTGGCGGGTGGGGAACAGCAGTTGGGACCTGCTGCTGCTGCTGATGGTCTTTTTCCACTTTTGTTTCGTAGAAGTTGTGAACAAATTGGGTTGTACGTTCCTAACTGTTTGTTTGTCTGTCAGTCTGTCTGTCACTGAGCGAGGAGGTGTCATACGAGGTGCGAGAGGGCGGCGGCGGTTTTGCCTTGAGGGCATGTGTGGCGGTTGGTTGTTGTTGGTGGTTCCGCCGAATGCAATTCAGGATGTTGTGCGCTACCGGGATGAGTGGGTTGCGGTTGCCGTCCTGTGCAACAGCAGCAGGCGCTACTGACAGCTTTCTGCTGCACACCTGATTTTGGCGACAAACCCCCGGGAGGTTCGTCTGTATGTGTGTATGTTCCTGTGTGGTCTACCTTTCCAAGTCCCCCATGAACGGTCCGCCGACCTCGTGGATGGATGAGCAATATATACCTTTACTTTTGTCGTACTAACTGAATGATAAACTGAAGGAAGATTGACAGGCAAACTGACCGCTTACAACAGACGTTGCATAGCAGCTTACCCAGGTTGCCATTCTCGATAGAGGTGGACAACAACCCTGAAGCGCTGCTTTGCATATGCCTGTGTGCGAGTGTGGGTGTAAATGGATGAAGATGGAGGCGTTGCCGTCTAAAAAAGCTGCAGTAGCAGCAGCAGCAGCACAGTAGCAACCAGTAAATATTGATAACTACAGCGCCGTACGCATGCCTTCAATGAAAATTGTACAAAAGTATAAAACAGGTGCTCTACTTGTCCTCTCTATCTCTCTATCTCCCCCAACTGGATATTATTGCAAGGCCCTCCAGACGAGGGCTCTCCAGAAATGCGCCGCAGCGGGAACCACAGAGGGGCTGTTTAGCAACCCAATGCTCGGTGGTTGTCCCTAGTGCTGCCGTACACAAAAGTCCCTAGTGCTACCGTACGCAGGAAACACGCGGTCCTACCTAAACGGTATAAAAGTAATTAAATTGGCCCTTTAGGGTTTTAGGGTTTCCTCCCCCTCGGCACGTCCTCCAAGGGCACAGCCGCACGTGCGATCCAAACCAAAAGGACTTTGCGGTGAAATCTTCCTTCCTTCTGCAACTGCACACACACACACACACACACAGCTACGCACACGCTGCACTCCTCATCGTCATTCCCTTCGCGCCGTTCAAAGCGTACACACACATACATACACGGCTGTAATCCCCCTCCAAAGGGCTCGGATACCGCAAATGCACCTCACAGGCTGTGCGGATATGATATACACACAGACAGACACACACACACGAACAGAGGGCGGAACCCCCCCCCGGCCCCCACATCCGTTTGCCGTTTGCAGTAGAGGTAAGACGACCTCGGATAGGACATGACGTAGCGCGGCTCGGCAACGTGAAGGGGAGGCGCCCCGGGAGAAGCACCCTCGATGATACACCGTTAATTACGAAATGTGACACAGCAACCTCCTCCTCGGCTTCGTGTACCGGTCTTGTTAATCATCTTCACTCGCCTCTCCCCCTACTTTCACCAACCCTAACAGCAGCACTACCGCGTTTTGAGCTCACAACACCACCCTCCACAACAACAACGAAATATCTGTGTCGTGAACACATACCGCCCTCCGCGTCCCTCTCCTCTCCTCTCCTCGCATCCCTCCCCTTGGAGACCCCCTGCCGACTAAAATTGAAAAAGTCACTTAGCACACACGCACCGAGGCGTGGACTGGTAATAGTGAAACAAGCGCAACAATGACGTCGACAACAACTGCAACTACTACTACGAATACCTGGGGCTGCAAGCGGCCTTAGACTTCAAGCCACGGCCATCGCAATGACCGTACTCTTCGCGCACCCCCACCCCCACCGCCCGGGGAAAACCACGCCCCGTTAGCTCTTTGGGGTTCCCTCCCGTGGACAAATCTGTTAAGTTACTCTCTTATTCTTCTCTTGTTCGCACCTCCTACTCCTACTCCTACCCTACCCTACCGTAACCCACTCTCTTAAACCACGCATGCAAAAGAAGTTCTCCTGCTTGGCAACGTTCTGCTGCCCCTCCCCTCCCCTCCCTTCCCCTCCCCCTCTCCGTCCTGCTGGTGTGTGTGGAGGGCCGGAGGGAGTGGGTGGGGATAAGAAAGGTGGGGAAGGGGTAAAGGGCATCCGATGAGGTAAACCCCAAGCGCACCCACCACCCAAGGCGGCCCCCGGGGAAAGCGACCTCCACACACCATCCTGCATGCCAACATACCAACATACTTGCATGTACACATACTTGCATGCACGCAACATGAAATGCATCTGCCCCCTCTCAGCGCCGGTGGGCGACGGGGCCTCGAACCGATCACCGTGTCAAGCACACAGCCAACCCCCCCCCGGCCGCAGCAGCAAGTCCGCCACCACTGTGACGATCACCATCACAACACCAACGACCACCTCTTTCGTTGCCCCAGGGCACCGTGGGAGGCGCGGAGGAGGGTCAGTCGCTTCCCGCCGCCGGGGGGTGGCTCGCATGCACATACACGCACACACATAGGCTCAGGCTGCACACAGGTACACATCGCGGTACCCTCCCGTCCCGTCCTGTTCTGCGAATGAGGTGGTGGTAATGCAACGAATGCAGGGCGATGGGTGAGTCAATGAATGCTCGGTGAAGAGCAGATAGCGGTCGCGCCTGTTCCCCCTCTCCCCGACCCGACCCGACCCGACCCGGCCCGACCCGACAATCCCCACCGGGGCCCCGGAGCCCTAGAGGTCCTCTCCTCAGAAAGGCCCCGCGGATATTCTCCGCCCTTCCTCCCCGCCCTCCTCCCTCTCACACTCCTGCCGCCTGCATCATCAGTCTGAGCACCAGGTGCCTGGGCAGCCCCATGACGCTGCAGATGCTGCCGTCCATTCGCTCCACGTGGGCCTCAACCAACGGGTGCTCGATCTTGGCAAGGAGCGAGGGGGGAAGGGGGCCAGAGGCGGCAGACAGTTGCGGGGATTTTAGGGATGGGAAGGAAGCGGAAGCGGAAGCGACGCCAATAGGGCCGGTCATGCCTGTGCATCGCTAGAGGGGGGGATGACATCATGGCGACGTCTCCGACGACCAATTTAACGGGTCAACCAACGAGTCCCTCCGGACTAGCTGACCCTACCTCCACTGCGTCACGCATACTGCCCCCGCAACTTCATCCCACTCAATTTAACCGCTTTCCTTCCTTTCCCGCAATGTCAACGTGTTCCCTGACTGATTGCTGCGACATCATACACCGCAATGTCCACTCTTTCCGCGTCCCCCCCACACTCCCACAGACCCCCTTCTCTCGTCCCCCTTTCCCCACCCTCCGCCCACATCCTTTCAACACGTCCGTAGCAACACACTTAACCCACGCGCAAGCTTCCCCCATCCGCACCTAGCTAACCCCTCATTCATCCACCCGAACTCCCGCTCCGAAACCCTGGGACGTGTCGGCAGTTGGTACGCTGTTTCTTGCTTCATACAATCCCGGCCCCCCAACAGCCTCCAAACCCAAACCCGGGGGCCCCGCGCACCATGAGGCCCCCCGCGCAATAGAACACGGTGCCCTCCGCAATCAGCGCCTGCCGCACATCTGCCGGTATGGGCCTAAAGTGCACAAAGGCCCTCTCCACGTCCTCGGCCTGCCGCCCAGAGGCCAGGTCGGTGGCCAGCACCGCACCCACAGTGGAGGCGGGGCTGCGGCCGTAGCCCTCAATGTACTCGTGTACCTCATCCACAGAGCCGGGCTTCTCCAGGATGCGATCCTCGTGAACAACAACCTGAGGTTGAGGAGGGAGGAAGGAGGGAGGTGGGCGAGGTTGGATGGAAGGACGGATAGGAGGGAGGGCACGGGGTTAAGGGAGGATGATAACAGCATGGGGATCTATAGATGTACGACGCATTCGTTGAAGCTGGGTCAACGAAAGACAGGATGCAGATACGCGGTCTATGGAGTTGGCGCGCACCTGGTCGCACGTAATAAGGATGCCTCGCATTTCATCGCCGGCGGCCTTCATCTTTTCAATAATGGCATCTTTCTTTGCCCTTGCAAGGAGACGCACCAGCCTGCGCCGCAAAGCCGGCGTTTTGGTGCAGGGGGTGTCCACATGCCCGGACTTACAACACACGGCCTTGGGCGCGTAGCCCGCCCTTACTTGTCCGGGCTCGGATCGCGAATAGCCTTCTCGTTGATGTCCGCTGTCTTTATCTCGTATGAAAAACCATGCTCTGCAGCAAGCTGGTCCATGATTTGCCTTCGCGCGAACGAACTTGAACCCAAAATAATACGTGGCTTCGCTCGAAAAAACGTCGCGACCTTGTGCTGTTGATTTACAACAGTCTGAACCATTCGGCTGGCTGGTGGTAACGAAGGTGCCATGATGTGTGTCTGATAACTTCAAATGTATCCCATACGCTACTCAAGGTCCAAGCTATAGTATAGCTACCTAACAGGTTGCATACCCTCCCTAAACAAAAGCTTACACCCGCATTGCTTATGAGTCAATTGTGACATTTTATAACGTGATAACCAACTGGTTTCAGTGCATCGTAATCGAACATCCTGATGGTACACCGGATAGACCCTAAGCGTCATAATTTTAGCCTGAATTTGTGAACGATAAGACGTGCTAGAGGTCACTTTTCTTTGCAACACACTGTGGGCTTTGGCACCCCACGTACCCGCTAATCCGGGTTTGTCTCATCCGACACCTACAGCCAACGGAGCTCCCTCCTAAGTTCACCTCTACTGGTGAGGGGAAACTCAAGGGTAGAGCAAATCCTGCCTGGCGGGTATGCCGGTATTGTGTATGCACCGGAGATCGCAAGTGCTTATCCTAAACAGTGCTCCTGAGATAGATGTGACTGGGGGGATGTCAGAGGTTAGGTTTGGGGGACACCATATTTCTGGGGGCCCACCTGTCAGCCAGCTCACTAATATGCACGATGGCCAATTGACGGTCCTCTGAAGACGGGTTGCTGCGGGCTGCCCTAAAATTCGTAACAATGAGGCTGAACAAAAGGATTGTTTGCATAGAGTTTAAGTAACCGGCCCTTGCTGGCGCGGAGCTCGACTTGGCAATTGGCGCACGGCTGGGTTCCCAATGCAGCCCTAGTTAAGCACTGTGGTTATTGCTTTCTCCTTTATGTCCACCTACCGAACAGTAGACTGTGACCTAGAGTTCCTTACGGTAAATGCATTGCAGTCTCTAGCTTGTAGAGATGTCGAAATGTGGCGGCGCAGTTGCCGCGGCTACTGGGACCCAATTGCTGCTTCTCCTACTTGGGAAACAACAGGTCTACCATTAACGTCTAAAAATGGGTTTCGTATATGATTTCGATACGTGGACATCTTCTTCGTCGTGGTCTGGCAGCACCGTAAGGCGCGAACGCGTCGCTCCTCAGAAGTCAATGAATTACGGTTCTTTAAATACACCATACTTGCAAATTTTCATCCAACTTAACTGTGTGGCACAGAAACTATTAGTGCGTCGTGAGGCATCGTGAAGCATTTTTGTGGTTGTCGTACGTCTGGAAATTTCCCGACATTTTGTAACCTACACAGCCGTCAATATGTGTTGTCTGCGTCTCTAATAACACGCTGTTGGGTTTGAAGGTTTCTCGGTTGCTTCTTACAAACTTGACAGCTTGATCTTTCGGCGGCTCGGCAGTCGCTTTCACCCGACGACAATGCTGCTGCGCGGATTTTCTTCTCGTCTGGGCCAGGTGAGCGTGCGGCTCTAGTATTTGCATGAGCAACATGGAGGTTTACGCTGTCAGCCGGCCCGGCGCGCGTGCTCGCGGCGACATGCCCGGGCGCGGTTGAGAACGCGCGTGCCTCCTGCCACTGCTGCCCTATCTCCTCATTCTATTGGCCTACAGGTGATGATGCAGCTCCGGGGTTCACACCTTGGCTGTCTGCGGCCCGTGTCGTTCCTCACGCCCGCTGCCTTTCAGGTGCGTGCCAGCGGCGCCGCCCGCGCCGCCCCGGCGCTCCAGCACCGCAGCCTCTCCGCAGCGCTGATGGGGGCCTTCTCCTCAGCGCCGGGGGCGCCGCTGCGCGCGGGACCGCTCCCCGGCCGTCCCCAGCTCGCGCCGTCGCTGCTGCGCGCCGCCGCCACGGAGGCTGCTCCCCCCCCGACTGAGGAGACGTTCACCTACCAGGCCGAGGTGGGTGCACCAGTGCGCCTCTAGCGCCCTGTGCCCTCATCTTTCTTGTTGTGATGGGTGGTTGAACAGGCGGACCAGGGTAGTAATCTATGTGGAGCTGAGATTGACTGCGGAGGGGGTGGGCGGGTGCGTGGATGAGTGGGCACTTAGCTCAGTGACACGTCCCCTGGAGCAACCATGGCCTTGGGTGGTTACGATGGCCATGAATTTGGTTGGTTGGTTGGTTCTGTGGTCTCGCGGCGTGATCTAAGTCTTGTGGTAGTGGTAGCGGTAGTGGTGGTGGTGGTGGTGGTGGTGGGGAGACCGTAGGACAGCCGACATTGCCCAAGTGCCGAGAGCCGGATTCCCGCTACACGTGAACTCCCTTCTGGGCCATTCCTACCATTCCCATTCATTCATGTAATAGTAAGTAAGGTTTTATAGAAGGCCAAAATTATGGTAGCTATCTGAGCAGGGAGTCCCTCGCCTGCCCGCCGTCCGCCGCCCTTGTGTACATTTCCCTTTCACCTCCCCCCTCCCCTCTTAAACCCCCCCCCGCCCTCTCCACGTCACCTCCGCTCAGGACCCCCCGTCCCCCCCTCTTCCCCCTGGCCCGTACCCCCGCTCACCCCACCCCGCTCCTCCCTCGCGCCAGGTTGACCGGCTGATGGACATCATCGTCAACTCGCTGTACAGCAACCGCGAGGTATTCCTCCGGGAGCTGGTCTCCAACGCCTCAGACGCGCTGGATAAGGCCCGCTTCCTGTCCGTGACGGACCCCTCCGTGCTGGCGGGGCGGGAGGAGCTGGAGATCCGGATCAGCGCCGACAAGGACAAGGGGACACTCACCATCGAGTGAGTGTCGTATATGCGCTTGTGGGTGGGGAGAGGGGGTAGATAGAGGGGTAAAAGGAGGAGGGAAGTGAGAGGGAAGTGACTTGGATATTTGAGGTTCAGTAACGGGCTTTTACGCGGGGGAGGAGGGATAGTTAGCATCGGAAGGGGGGAGAAGGGGCGGTTGGGGTTGCTGGAGTAGAGGTTATAGTACGACAGAGGGGATTATGTAAAGGGTGTGGATTGGGTTTGAGGCTTGGCCAGGGTCCTGGGCGGAGTTGTGTTGCCTCCCTGCCTGTCTATGGTGGACTTGGTCAGGCGCTGTGGGTGCGGTGTATGGGTCAGCCGAGGTTCAACAAGCTTTCCCCTGTCTTGCCCTCTCTTCCCTCTGTCTGTCTGTCTGTCTGTCTGTCAGGGACTCGGGTATTGGTATGACCCGCGAGCAGCTGCTGTCCAACCTGGGCACCATCGCCCGCTCCGGAACCCGCAAGTTCATGGAGGCCATGGCATCCAAGGGGGACTCCAACCTCATCGGTCAGGTGGGTGGGGGATTGTGTGTGTGTAAGTATGTATGTGGGGGGGGATTGGTGTGCAGGTAAGGGGATTTAGGGGACTTAGAAGGAAGGTTTACCCTCTGCTGCTAATGATGGCGGTGGTACTGCTGCAGGGGTTGTTATCGAAGTGAGAGCTGAGGGGCTGTTTGTCGCTGGGTGATGTTGTGACGGCCCCCTGAGGAGGGCGCTCCGAGTGGGGGGCGATATGGCGGCCAGGTCCAACCACTGGGGTGAACAGAGCCACACTCCAGCGTACTCCCCCTTCCCACTCCCCCCTTCCCTGACTGACTGTGGACGCCGGGGCAGCTCATTTCTGATTTCCTTGCACCATCCCCCCCCGGCTTCACTCGTATCGTGGTTCGTCTTCCCCCCCCGGCCTGCCCCCAGTTCGGAGTCGGCTTCTACTCGGCCTTCCTGGTGGCCGACCGGGTGCGGGTGCAGTCGCGGAGCCCCGAGGAGCCCCGGCAGTGGGTGTGGGAGGCGGTGGCGGGGAGCCACCAGTACACCCTCAAGGAGGACACCGTCGCGGACCTGGTGCGGGGCACGAGGTGGGTGGGTGGGTGGGGGTTAGGGGGGGCTGGGCGCCGTGTTCAGTGGGGCTGCCAGGCTTTCTGTCCCTCTGTCCCTCTCAGCACCTCGCCCCTCCCGCCCTGCTCCTTCGCCCCTGAAGGATTACCCTGCATCTGAAGGAGGACGCTGCGGAGATGGCTGACCCTGTCCGCATCACCCGCCTCATCAAGCAGTACTCGCAGTTCATCGCCTTCCCCATCAAGGTGGGTGGGTGGGTGGGTGGGTGCAGCAGCGGGGGGTATGAGACGGGGGGGTTATGGGTGCAGGTGGGGCGTGTGTGTATGCGTGTGTCGTCTGGTGTATGAGAGGGGCCGGGAGGGGAGGGGCTGGGCTTCAGGCGGGGGTCGGAACGCGTGTTGCGACCTGTGTGTTACCGTTACTGGTCGTTACCGTTTTAGAGGCACTTGGACATCCCCCTTCCCGACGTTCCCCCTCACCCTCACCCGCACTCTGCCTTCTCTCCCCCCCCCCCGCCACTTCGGCCGTTGTTCCGTGACCTAGACTCCCGCCTACGGCTGCCAGGCTTTAGCCGACATTGGCATTGGACTCCTCCTTCCTTACTTACGAACTCCCCGCCCTTTCCCCGTAGGTGTACAGCCCCAAGAAGGAGCCCCGCAAGGTGGTGGACCCGGAGGGCACTCGCAGGAAGCAGGAGGCGGCGGATAAGAAGGCCGCGGAGAAGGGGGAGCCCAGCAGCCCGGTGAGGGGAGTGGGAGTGGGAGTGCGGGGGTTATAGTGCGCTGATGGGGTTGCGACCTCCCTTCCTCACTCCCTCTCCCTCCAGAGGACGTACCCAGGTGATGCACCTCTCCTTCATCGCGTGTTCACTGTCACAGGCCCCCCCCGTGGGGCCCCCCACTACACATGCATGGATGCATTCCCTTGACACACGTGTGTGGTGGTGACCTTCATGCTGCTGATGTTGTTCCTGGTCCTGGTGGTGCCAGGTGGAGCCGGTCATGAAGACCGAGTACGAGGAGGTTTGGGACTGGCGGCTGGAGAACGAGAACAAGCCCATCTGGACCCGCAGCCCCAAGGACGTGTCTGAGACCGCCTACAACGACTTCTTCAAGGTGATGAATATGGGCGCAAGGGGGTGGGGGTTGGGTGGGGGGGAAGAGGGGCGAGGCGGAGCAATCAGTCTCTTTGCCCCCTTCCCCCCCCCCGCTGGAATAACCAATCACGTAATAACAAGCCGTGTGGGCCCCGATGTGCACTCCCGCCAGCGCCTGGGGTCCTGAGATGGCCTCCCTTCCCTGAGCTATTTCCCTCACCCCTCACCCCTCACCCCAACTTCGCCCTCAGGCCACATTCGGTGAGTTCCTGGACCCGCTGGCCCACGTGCACTTCAACGTGGAGGGGACCTTCGAGTTCTCCGCCATCCTCTACCTGCCGGGTATGGCGCCGTTCGAGCAGCAGAACATGATGCAGGTAGGGAGGGAGGGGGGAGGGGGAGGTAGCGCCGATTGCGCTGTTGGGATGACTTGTTGGTGGTGGGGTGTAGGTGGGCCGTTGGGGAAGGAGAGGCTCTGAGACGCGTTTTAGAAACGGCCAGGTGGGTGCAGCGTTGTGAGGTGATATGCCTTTGCGGCCTTGCGGAAGAGTCTTGTTGGGATTGCGCTCCTCTTGCTGTCTTAACCCCTGACTCCCCTCCCTCCCTCCCCCCCCTCAGACACCTCAGACACAGGGTGGACCCTGGTACCTATCCTGCCTGCTGTCCTCCCTTGCCCTTTTCCTGACCCGCTAGCCGCCCCTTCCTATCCATTCCCCCCTCCACCCCGTCCCCTTCCACACACACACACACACACGCCCCCGCTTTTCACAGCGCTCCAAGTCCATCAAGCTGTACGTAAAGCGCGTCTTCATCAGCGACGAGTTCGACGAGGACCTCATGCCGCGATACCTGTCGTTCGTGAAGGGCGTGGTGGACTCCTCAGATCTGCCGCTCAACGTCAGCCGCGAGATCTTGCAGGAGTCGCGGATTGTGCGTGTCATCAGGAAGCAGCTGGTGCGCAGGTGAGATGGTGGGGGGGGGAGGAAGGAGCCATCGCGTCTAGCTGTGCGAGTCTGTAGTTGTGCGTCTGTATGCTTGGTGTGTTGCGTCTGTCTGTTTGTTTGCATGTGTGGGAGAGAGGATGGTGGAGGGCTACCTGTGCCGAGAGAGAGGGAGGTGTGGACACAGGCTGTGCTGTGTGGGAGCAGCTGGTGGGGCTCTGGCCCGGTGTGGGTCGGGACCTTGGGTTTGGAACGGCTTTGGACGTACCGCCGTGCCTGACCATTCGCATGTGGTTTGTGGGGATTTGGGTTTCCCCAGCAGGTCGCCTGGCCGGCTCCCGCACTCGGTAACACTCGCCTTCCCACCCCTGTCCCCTCCATCCCCCGGTGCCTCACCTGCCTCCCACTATCGGACAGGTCCATTGAAATGATGGAGGAGCTGGCCGCCAAGGAGGGCGGCGAGGACTACAAGACATTCTGGGAGGCGTTCGGCCGCAACATCAAGTACGGTGTGGTGGAGGACACTGAGAACCGGGAGAAGCTGTCCAAGCTGCTGAGGTTCCACTCCTCCCAGTCGGAGGAGAACCCCACTTCGCTGGACGAGTACATCAGCAGGTGACTGTCTGTGGGGGGTGGTGGGGGGTAGGGAAGGGGGCCGGGGGTGGGGGGAAATGGGCGGTGCGGTGTGAGGGCGGAGCGTTGGAAGTAGGTAAGGGGAACGGGGTTCGAACCGGGGTGTGAGATCTGCGATGATCGTGATGAAGGAAGGTTGGTTGGCCTGAGGGGGCCTTGGTTGTCTGGCCTCACGAAACCCGCCCCGCCGCCTGTTCCCCATCCCATCCCACCCCACCTCGCCTCAGGATGAAGCCAAAGCAGAAGTCCATCTACTACATGGCCGCGGACAGCGTTCAGGCGGCCCGTGCGGCGCCGTTCGTGGAGGCCCTGGTGGCCAGGGGCATTGAGGTGCTCTACCTGACGGAGCCAATTGACGAGGCCTGCGTCACCAACCTGGCCAAGTACGGCGACAAGGACACGCCGTACGACCTGGTGGACGTCAGCAAGGAGGGCGTTACGTTGGACGAGGAGGGTGAGGAGGAGAAGGCGGCGGCGGAAGCGGCCGCGAAGGACATGCAGCCTGTCGTGGAGTTCCTCAAGAAGGTGCGGTAAAGAAAGGAGCCCCCGTATGCTGCACTGCTGCACAGTCGCCAAATAGCCGCGCGACGTCACACCGGGCCCCGCTCAGCCTGGTCGGGTCCGTGTCCGCCCTTCCTATCCGCCCCTCAGTATCCCGCCCTCCCGCCTCCTCCGACACGATCCCCGATCGAACCTGACCTGACCTGACCCGCTCAGGCCCTGGGTGAGCGCGTGGAGAAGGTGACGGTGTCCACCCGGCTGCTGGACTCCCCCTGCGCGCTGGTGACGTCCAAGTTCGGCTGGTCCGCCAATATGGAGCGCATCATGCGCAGCCAGGCGATGGGGGATGCACGCGCCATGGAGTACATGCGGGGTCGCAAGATCATGGAGATCAACCCCAAACACGACATCATCTCCGGAATCAAGACGTTGCTGCAGGTCGGTCGGTCGGTCGGTGTGGGGTGTGGGGGTTTTTAAGGTTGAGATGCAGGTCATTGCAGCTTCTGGATCGCAGCGCTCCCGGGGGAGTCGCGTACTTGGTCTGTTCCGCAGCGGCTGTCTTTCCCCTTCAGCAATCCTCTTGCTTGCGTTTAAAGAGTGTTAACGTTGGATGGCAAAAAAGTACTTTCGTTTGCTTTGCACCTGTCATCTCTGGTGCTGCTCTGTGGTCCTTGTGCCGTACAATCGTGTCGTACCCCCGTACAGGAGAAGGATGAGGATCGAGCTCGCGACCTCGCGGAGTTGCTGTACGAGACGTCTCTAATCACCTCGGGCTTCCAGGTGGACTCCCCCAAGGACTACGCCTCTAAGGTTTTCACGCTCATGAAGATTGCACTGGGGTACGACATCCTGTCAGAGGTGGAGGAGCAACAGCAGGCGCAGGCGGCCGCGGCGGCAGCCACGACAACCGCCTCAACCCCGGCGGCGGCCTCAGCAGCAGCACCGCAGCGGCCGGTGGCGACGCCGGTGGACGCCGAGGTGGTTTCGGAGGAGGACCCTTGGAAGAAGATGTAAGGGGAGTTGTAGAGACGGAGAAGAGCGCTGGGACCAGGGTGCTTGCGTGTGCTAAGCAGGATTGGAGAGCTCTTGAGGTTGACCACGAGGAACTGAGTTTATTGTGTGGTTCGGGAGGCTGGGATAGCTAGGGTAGGAGTGGACCGGGATGTGGGATTGATTACGAAGTAAAGGTGGTCAAGAGACTTTATTAAGCGCAAATATCTCGACGAGCGGACCGGCGGGCCGTTGACAGAGAGGGAGTCTGAGTGTGATTGTATTTTTTTTACTGAAGCATCAGGTAGAGACGCATCAGAGGAGTACGCACTGTCGAGGGTTCTAGTGGGTTTCGTTTCCGAAGGGGGTGTGGCGGGTAGGAGAATTTGAGGTCTGGGGGGTCAGCAAGGGGGCTAGTACGCGCGCTCGCTTTGCACTTTTCTGCACTTAAGCAACAAGCGTCCGCGGACAGTCTGTCTCTGTCCATGTACAGATAGAAATTTGATACCATGACTGGCCAAAAGTTTTGAGACGAGGCTTGCATAATCGGTCTTATACCCCAACAGACTGGCTGGCCTAAGACCCGTTACAAAAGCAAGCGTATGCCTTTCATATTGACTGTAAGATACATGTGAAAATATCATCAATGCAGGTGTTCAGCATCCTCTCCACTCAGACAGGAAGATATACACAACCATGTGCATCTCACTGCAGATAGAAGAGCAAAGCATTACTGCTACGTTTGCCGCGAGAACGCCTTAACGCCGATTCACCGCATGATATGACCATAGTATTACTGTGAACGAACAAACAAATCCCCGACCATAGACAACGACATATCTCCAAACCACGCGGCGAAAAACAATTTACAAACTCACTGCGGATGTATCCCCCGCCCCCGCCGACAAAACCCGCGTATGCAGTCTAGCCCTAGAAAAAAGTACCCATTCAAAAATCCCTGCCATCACCGCACCAGTATATACAACCCACACGCGAAATCGTCTATACGCCGTGTGCTTCACGCCCACGGCGGACAGGAGGACAAAGGTTGTGTTTTTCCCACTGCTCATCATGGGCCTCATAGTTGATGGTGCTCACTTGTTCTGCGCCCCCAATAGCTGCCCGACGATAGCGACAACCTGCGCGGGCACGGACGCAAGTCAGCAGCACGAAGAGACCAGGGTGCTGGCTGGCCAGAGATGGAAGAATCATACCTGCCAATACTTTGCACAGCACCGATCAAGGCAGCTGTTTTCGCCAACGCTTAGGGTCCCCTCCTTGTAACTGCGGGGGACGACGAAAGCCGTCGGCATTTCCGTCGCTTAACGGAAAACGTCCTTGCGCCGTGGCAGAAAACTTACGGTCGTGCCACGCATCTTTCATGGCACGTGCCCACCATGCTGCAAGCAGAAAATTGTTAGGGTGAAATCCGTTACGTCGGCTGCCGGAGATGTTCAAGCGAGCGCGCCGCCCTTGCGCACCTGTTTAGAAGTTGCACACGATACTCTAGCTCTGTTGTTGCCATGGTAAGCGCTGCCGCTGCCACAGCCTGTTGCTCCGCACTGGAAGGCTCGTCGGCTGCCATGATTTGGTTTTGTCTTTTGCAGGAAGAAGCCTTGGGCACAAAGTATGATATCCAGTCGACTATTTTGTGTGAGGTGATATATATATTTTTATAAATCCTTGGGAGGAACGCATGAGCTGTCGACCGAAATACAGCACCTGTGCTTGCATGGGAAAATGCTGAAAATGCAAATGTAAGCTTTATGCCATAGCTTAGACTTACAGCAACGTTTGCAGTTATATTTGGCCAACGCACATGCGCTCGGCGCCCATTTCTTTGCATGGCCCAGGGGTCATAAGGTGCCGCCATGCGCTTTGCCTGCCCGCCGCTCCTCGCATAGCTTCTGGACTTCGAAATACGGCACAAAGTAAGCGAGCTCACCTTACCCAGCGCATAATCTTCTTCCCGCAAATTCTACTACCATCCTGCCCCAAGGTATCCATCCCCCTTTCATAGGGCGCATGGGTCACGTGTAACACACCTCCTGGTAATCTCAAGCAATCCACTGCAGCCCACTGTAGCGACCTATACACCTCACTCCTACACATCCATAAGCGGCTGTATCCATACCCTCCAACAAACCGATATTCATACAGTTATGCATAACTTCAACTATAAGTTTCAGCTAAACAATACGCATATAATTAACGAATACCTGGTACGCGCTGCTGTAAAACTGTTCAGCGGTCTTCAGCTGCCTGATCGAACTTCCGCCCGTTCAAACCTTTCGATGGAACACATATCACACAAAACGTGAAGAGGGGCCATGTAAACACTTTAACATAGCTACGAGGAGCTGTGCCCAGGGCGAGTGGACAGCCCCAGCCAAACCGTCAGAAAACCACCCCCAACCCCATCACCACCCCCATCGCCATCGCCATCGCCATCACCGTCGTCAGCATTACAACGGACAGTGGGGCACAATGCTCCTGCCGCTCATCCGAATGACCTGTCTCCCACACCACCCCAGCTGCTTTTACCTTCTACCGCCCTCTCCCCTTACCTGCCCTTTCGCACCCACTTCTCCTCCCACCGTACTCCATTCACTTCCCCGCGGAGCCACATTCTCTCCCCCCCTAGGGGACCAGGCAGCCCCCGGGGCCCACTTTCCCTCCTCCTTTCCCCCCCTAGGGCGAGTGAAGGAAGGTCTCCCGACCCAGAATACCGGGCCTTCCTCCTCAGCCGCCTGCAACCCCCCATCTCTATATAACACCTACAGCCCTCTCCCACGCAACACACAATACTTTAGCCACCCCTTCCTTTCATTGCTGTCACTAGATCCAACCAGAGCACGACACACAGACATACACACACTCTCTCCAGCCACCAGCACCCCAGTAGCCGCCAGCCCGCCTCGAGGGTCTCAGATGCCGCATTCGTTCTCCGCCAACGTGCTAGCAAGCGAGCCGGGGCTCTCGGGCTCCTTGGGCGCCCACACGCCGTCACGAAACATCATTACCCCCCCTCCATCTCGCGCCCCCAAACCCCGGCTGATGCCCCCGCTGCGGCGGCGGCGCCTCCCCATCCTCCACCCCCCTCGAGCTGCCCCCTCCTCGTCCTCCTCCTCTCGTTCCTCGTCCTCCTCCTCCTCCTCCGCCCCAGAAAGGCTCTCATCCGCGTCCCAGCCACACGCACTGCCGTTATCCCGCAAGCGAACGGCCCCCCGGCCGGCCTCCTCCTCCATCGCCAAACGGAGCAGCTCAGGCGACAAAAAACCCTCCACTTTGCGAACCCCGTTACCCTTGCTGCTCCTGCTGGCCCTACTGTTGTTGCTGCTGCTGCCTCCGAAACCACCCAGACTGCCTCCGCGGGTCCCTGCCGCCTTGGCCGCAGCTCGCTGCTGACGGCCCTGGGCCTCCTTGCTAGCCGCCGGGCCCGGTGCCTTCGGTGCCGCGGCCGCCGGGGTCGCAGCAGCTGCAGCAGCCGCCGGGGGGGAGAAGCTGCCGGACTCAACCGAGGATGTTATCCCCAGCCGTTGAGGCGGCGGAGAAGCAGGCGGAGGCGCTGCCGCCCCACCGCGGCCAATGTCGGGGCTGCCAAGTGGCGGCTGCTGCGGCGGCGATGACGGCAGCGGGGGTGGGTAGAACGGCTGTGAGCCCGGCTGCAGCTGCAGCTGCTGGGGCTGTGATGGGTGCGGCGGGGGGAGCTGAGCGCTAGCGAGCTGTGCCGGGGCCTGTGATCTGTGAGGCGGTGCAAGTGCCGCCGCCGCCGCCGCAGGAGCCGCGGTAGCCAGCTGATTGGGGGCTGGCGAGGGGGGTTGCGAGGGGGCCGGTGGGACCGGAGCCAGCGTCACGTCGATGATCTGCGAGTGCTGCTTGCCGTTCGGGTTGTTATTGTCCGGTCCCGGGCCCAGCGGCTGCGGGTGTAGCTGTTGTTGTTGCTGCTGATGATGAGGGGTGTACGACCTGTGCGGGTCCATGGGATCGTACCGGTACGGGTGGAGAGCGCAGTGGTTTGGGGGGGAGGTATTAAAATGAGGGAATAATGACGATGGCGACGATGAGGAGGATGACGATGAGGAGGATGACGATGAGGAGGAAGGGGCAGGGGCCCGACAGCGGCGGGCAGGGCGAAGGTGCTCTACAGGTTGGGGAGCACCTCACTCGCCTCTCAGCAGGAGATCGCTCGCCTCCGCAGTACCGACCGCCACGGCCCCTTCGTACACACAAATAGGAATGCCGCACCCGGCGCCATTACCGCCCCCCGCCCCCCCATCACGATCAGCACCGAACCACAGCAGTTGCACCACCCCGCGAAGCCCAGAGTAGTACCTACCCGCTGTTGAAGACGTAGCCCACCTCCAGGTTTCGGAGCTGGATCCGATCCAGCCCGCCACCGCCACCGCCACTGCCACCACCACCACCACCACCGCCGCCCCCTGCACCTCCGCCACGGTAGCTGACCGCCGCTTCCCGAAGCAGTACATCCGGGTCCTCGTACCGCCCGGTGGCCTTGTCGTACAGCAGGTAGGCCTCCCCCTGCGTGCCTATGTCCTTGTTCCGCACCTTTTGCAGCTTGATGTCCACCTCCGGGAGGGCCACCCGGTACCGCTTTCCCGTGTCGGGGTGGGTGCGCTCCTGGAAGCGGCTGTGCAGGGGGGGGCAGGAGGGGGGTAGGGGTAGGGGTAGGGCAAGGCGGGAACAGGAGGGGTGGGAAGGGGTGGGAGAGTGGGAGGGAATTACAGGGGCCACTAGGAGCCAATTACACAGCTGTCAGCCGCAGTCGCCAAATCTGCTGCTGAGTCTGGAGCAACGGTGGGATGGGGAGAAGAGGGGGGCGGGGGGAATAGCTGCAATAGAGGAAATGGCGGCAATCCTAACAGCCGCACACATGGTTATTAGACAACCGTCAAGAGGAAGCGGCGGCGGAAGGGGAGCGAAACACAGGTGTGAGGAGAATAAAGAAAGGGGTAGTGGTGGTATACCTGTGTGTGCGTATGTATGTATGTATGTGCGGAGGGTTCCTGGTGCGGTCGGGAGGGGAAGGAGGATCTATCCCGGGTGCCCAGGTCTGTCACGTGAATGTACGGCGATCCTCTCCTCAACACCGCATTTCCCAAACCCGGGTTTACCCCTCCAGCCCCCCACCCACCGGTGCACCACGATGCCGTTGTCCGTTTTGTTAAACCAATGAGCAGAGCCCGAAATGTCGTACAGCCCGGGCGCCTGTCCTGTGAGCACCTTCTGCTGGCGGGGGTGCGCCACGAACCACACGTGGCACTCGGTGTCGCGGGCGAACCTGCGGACCTTCGTGAGCAGCTCCCGAATGAAGTCGGTTTCGGAGGTGTCGCGGGGACGGCGGGAATCCAGCTCGTTGTAGGGATCGATCAGGAGACCTCGGATGCCGAATCTGCAACAACGGTATGTGTGTGTGGGGCGGGGGGGGGGTATATGAGGGGGAAGGAGCGAAGGCGCTGGTAGACGGTTTGAGGTGGCGGCGGTTAAGGGGGCGAAACGGTTAAGGGGGCGAAGGCTAGGGGGGCTAGAGTGAGGTGAGGGGGTGCATTACTTCATGTCGGGATGACAGGAGGAAGGTGGGGGAGTGGTGGGGGAGTGGTGGGGGAGTGGTGGGGG